TCTTGAACTTAAGCACCAAGTAACATAAACTAGTGTGTAATAAACTAAATATTTTAGAGTGCAGTCAATAGAGATCACTGATACTGGGCTTCCAAGTCAATACTAACAGTATACCTTAAAATATATCCATAATTCCTCTACAGCTTCTAATTGCAGAAAAGTTGAATAGTGGCGAGCATTCTTCAAATTGAAAAATCCCTGATGAGTTTCTAAGAATCCCCAGGCTTGGACTATAACTTGAAGCCACTCATCTAGACTATTTGAGACTAGGGCATCTTACCCTATCAGACTGGCTGATTACTCACCTCTGCTAATGAGAGAGACAATTCTTAAATAAAAAAAAGTTTTATCAGTCTGTAAATACAAGGAAAAAAAATCTGAAATCCCAATAAATGTAAGAGTATTGTGAGGTTTAGCAAAGTCTGCTCCATGAAAATTAAATTGACTAGCCATGCTTTTCTACTTCCCTCATCCTCCCATATCTCCAAAATATTTATATAATTATTATATTGAAGGTAATATTTTTAGTGTTGTAGCTTACTTATAACTGGCAGATATGAGTTATACATGAGTCAAGGGGGACAGACAATTACTTTTGACAGTATGGCTATGGCAGATCTTGCTTTATTACAACTGCTTAAAGTCACATCTGCCTCAGAATTGCAGAATTTTGATGGAAATGTAGTAGCAAGGGCAAAAATCACCCATCATCTCAATATGGGTGGCATAGCATTCACTAACAGGAGCCCTACACAGTGTATGCATTTTTAATACAAAAAAAATTGAAGGGATCCTTTTCACCCTTACTAGGTAGTCCTGCAACATACAATTTCTAAACATGTGGGAACACACACACTTATCCATTCCAACATACATTTCACACTAGTAGCTTTGCTTGTACAATCTACCACATAAATTTTAGGAAGCACAATATAGTTGGCCTTTTTATACACTAAAATAAATGTATCATTCTTGATATTATTGTGAAATATGCCATTATTCTTGCTATTAATGCCACTTCAAAATGCTACTAGTTAGCCGAAATATGAACCTTGAGTTTCCTGATCAAAGTTGACACATTGGTTGCGTCATCCCACATGAAAGCTCTTTATACTATTTCCATCACCAGTAAATGGTCCTGATCATTGTTTGTTTGTTTATATATATATCTAAACAAAGTAGAATGTGATCTGTTTTACTGCCAAGCTATTTAAGTTATTTTTGTTTAAATAGCTTGGAGCTGGTTGCTATAGAGTCACAATCTTGATAGGGTAAGTCTAAACACCTGCACCACTCAGGGCTATTTTGAAGATCAAATCATTTCTTACATAAATGATAAATAAGTAGTTTTGAATTTTCCCTTTTAAAAAATAAAGCACACTGCTATATTTCTAAAATATAGTTGGCCTATGTTTCTTCAGAGTATTCTAAAATGTCATAACCAACCAACTGAAAACAAGCCAACCATTTTTACACAGCTAAGCAGTTTTTGGCAGTTCAGCTACACCTGAACCTGAATTACTACTTTCCTTATTTACACACAAAGTTGTAAAATGCTAATATCCGTGTTCATGCCAAAAATTAAACCAATGAAAGTACTGCATAAGTTTCAGGCAATATTTTATCTTTAAAATTCTAAATAAAAGAGCACAGTAAAGCAAAGCCTTGTTCAGTTTGATTGAATATACATTTGGTTTCATACATTGCACAGTTCTTAACTATCTGTTAATCCAGTTCCCTTTTAGCATTTGTTATGAAAAATAGGCCAGTATTACATTCAGAGAGAAGCAGAATAAGCCAGCATTAGATACTTCTGAAATAGCTATCTGATAGGATTTACCATACACATATTCAAACCAGAACATAAAATAATAATTTCCCATTAGAATTCATATACAGGAACATCCAAGTTCTTCCTTGTGACAAACAAGGAACTTAAGAACTGATCTTCTTTATGAAGATTATAAATTCCTGTTTTTTCCTCAATATAACTTTTACCAACGTGTACAAGCATAGCGAGCTGGGGAATGCTGGAAGTTATGCAAATTATTTTCTGTCTGAACATGCACAGAATTGTGCCTTAATTAACTGTATATGTTAACACAAAAGGAATTGATTTACACTCAATTTCTGAGAAATATTGAGAAAATTCACTGTAAAACATTCAGTTTTTGAAGGGTCTTGTCACTTGCCTGTGCATAAACATTTTTAGAACTGTGTAGAAATTGACATCTGCATAAAAAGTTCATATATTACATACATTGATTACCAAGACTAGTAACAGGAAAGATGCCCAAGATGCATTACAAGAAGCACTATTTATTTATTTAGGAGACTTCTATGCCGCCCCTCTGTCAAAATGTGCAAGAAAGCTTCAATGAATATCACAGTGGGCGCTAACACTAAATGAACACTATTTCTAACTTTTCCTAAAAGTAGGCCAATCCTGTAACAGCACAGCAGATAGCAGTATTCATCAGATCTTTGCACTCTAAATGCTTAAGGTACCACTTTTACATTATCCAAATATACCAGTTTTTCACAAAGAATAGGTTTTATGACCATTGCTATCTTTTTTGGCACTTGTTTCTGACAAAGAATTTGAAACTATGTTTAGTATATTTATGAGCTTCATGGTTAAGTGGGAACTAGACTCCAGAACACCCAAATCCCAGGACAATTTTCAAACTACAGTACCACATTGGTTTTGAAGATCACATGTAGATCCTTTTACAAAGCAAGAGTGATAGGCCCCATGTGCAGTTTCCTCATGGGGAGAATGTAACTAGCATTAACTCCTATTCGCAGTGGGTCCATAATTCTGCACTTCTGAAGAAATATGCCTACACAAAGATGGGAAAGTTGCAGAAGCAATTTTTATTTCTGCATCCAGTTGAAGAAATGCATATTTCCCAAAAAGCAGTAAACTACCCCGAAGATATATTGGCTTGGCTCACATATAATGACAAACCAAAGTATGATCTGATTTGCAAGTCATGACAACCCAGCTACTAATATGGATTGTTGTTGAATCATGGGTTGTCATGACATGCAAATGCTGCTCTATATGGGTTGTGAAGCTCAAATAACACATCTTAGTTCAGTAACAAGCCATGGATTCTCTCTGTAGTTGTTTAAGGTTAACAAATCATAATTAAACCAGTGTAGGGGTCACAAGTAATGACAACTCTTGATTCACAACAGCAACCCATACTCTTAATTTGTTGCTATAAAAACATTCCAAACTCCCAAACATCATAAAGATTCCTAGCTGATAAAAGGATTTTCCAATCACAGCTGTAAAATTAGCCTCAGTAAAAACTTTTCTATTTAACCCAGATAGTTCTTAAGAACAAGAGAGTGCAATCCTATAATAGTTATTCCTGAATCAGGTCCCAATACACTTAATTACACTTCATCCCAGGTAACTATGCTTAGGACTGCAGCTGAACAGTTCAACTGTATGCAAACTTAACACAGAAAAAGGCCTATCATTTGAATGGGGCCTACTTTAGTTTTTGAAAATAGCCTGGTTGACAATAAAACATTAAAAATGTGCTAACATTTCACAGAATTTGATAACTTTCTGCTCTTATTTTCACTTTTTATTACTGCAAAATATTACAAAAGATGCAGACACTTAACACTTAATGACTGGGAAGTATTTTATGAGACTTGTTTAATATTGTTAAGTAGTAAGGATAATGCACTTATCAAATATGCATCCTTTGACTGTAAAGATATATTTTTATAAATTTGGAAGAGATAAAGGGGATGCAATGGCAAAGTGATTCATTGAAATATATTGGTCAAAATTCAGGCCTTTCTCCAAAGCACTGATGAACTCACATAGCCCAACAGTGAAATCCACTATTTGTGTCTACTCAAAAGTAATCTACAATAACTTACATGGGTCTTCTTCCCAAGTAAACATAAACAAGACTACAATACTGAACAAGTTTATACAAATTTAATACATGTCCTGCTAAACCAAAATTGAAAAACTCTTACTCTGTCCAAAGTATATTTAGCACTCCTTTCCCCAGCAATGATCACCGAGGGAACACAAGTCACTGGGGCTCTAATTTTGTATTGTATTTTCTATTTTATTTTAAAGGTCAACAGTACTGATATTCTAATCATAAGCATTTCTATCTTATAGGCCATTGTTCAGAATTAAAAACATGCAAAAGAAATCAATTCTTATTACAGAGATGCTTTATTACTTCCATACAATATTTCCCTAACCCTAACCCTAAGAGTTGTTCCATTTTCCTTAAACCATTCTCAGCAGACATGGTTTGCATAAATTTTGCAATACCCCAATTTATGCCAATGCAAGGTAGACAAAGCTACTATTATCAGCAAAACCATTTCTCTGCAACTGTATTAATGCATAGTTAACATAGCAACAAGCATGAAATGCACATTTTATAAACAGCAAAATATCTATGAATGCAGCTAGACACGATACTACTAAAGAACCACTGTCCACACACCCCCCAAATGAGAAGGCAGATGTAACTAAGTGTCTATGATCAAAGGTTTCAGCATTACACAATTATAAAGCCTTCCTTTATTCAAGATATTCTATCTGTGCATCCCTACAAACACACCCATACCAACCCCCTCCTTCTCAGCCTGCTCAGCAAGTACTATGCTAGTATTTACAGGACAGTCAGCATTAGCTCTCTGCAGGAAGGCAAAAGATAATTACACGTATTTATTCTTGATCATGGTTTGGAACTGGGAAAAGAAAGTGAAAACTGTTTCATATAATATGACCCTGTGTTACCAATACAGTCACCGTTTTGATCTAGTTCATAACAAGTTGTTCCACTACAAACCAGTACTCTCCCCAACCTCACCCCACAAGGCCAGTTCTTCGTACGCCACAAAAACAACTGCGCCCTACTCAACACCGCAAAGACTTGCCCCTCCAACCACCACACTTCCTACTTCTTAGCATCCAGACCCGCTTAATCCAATCCCATAGTTACCTTCCACTTACTGGAGCTGCGATAGTTTCTTCCCTAAACTTTAATTCGGTATCCACTTCATCCCTGGTGCCTTCACCTCTCCCATTTATCCTATAAAACACACACCAATGTGCCTTCACCACATAACTCGCGCTCAACTTTGCACTCTGAGGCCTACCTTAGTCTCCCTCCTCTCTCCAACTGTAGCCCAGCTGATCCTCCCCTATACACCTCCCTTCTTCAGGTCTCCTAATACCACTGCTCTCTCCTTCGGACCCCATTTGCCGCACAAACATCTCAAAGTGGGTCCCCCAGCTGTCCTCTTTCCTATCGCCGCCTTCTTCCAAATCCCTACCAACTACAGCTCTATCAAGCCACCCTAGACGCTCTTCCCCAAACATTTCCGCAGCTGCTCCGCGACAACTACCTCAAGCTGCTCTCTCATTAATTTTAACACTGATCCCTTAGCCACCTTTTTCTTTTCTCTCCCCAGATTCCTGTCCCCAAAGGTCCACTTATTTGCACTCCCGCCCCTTGCCTGCCCTAAGCTTCCCCTTGCTCACTCCATACCTCAGTTTTCCCACAGACACGAGCTGCCGCTCAACGCCACCTCAAGTCCAACTCATCGTCCCTTTTCTCCACACAAGGCCGTGCTCACCGGACCAGGCCCCAGCTCACCCCCCTCACTCCCCGTGTAGCTTGAGTTCCCGAGACCGAATCATAACAAAGCTCTGCCCAAAATGGCTGCCCGGCCCTGCCCGGCCGGGGGCCGGAGGGGGCGGGGCTACTCACGCGGAGGGGGGTGAAGAGGGGAGAAACACACCCACCTGGCCCAGGCCGTGCCAAGCGTAATGCGCATGCACACTCACTTCCAGTCTCTCGCGCTCATACTCTCAAGCTAGGCAAAGGTTCTCCAGAGCGCTCGCGCAAGTTCCCATATCCCTTTGCACATGCGTGAATACAGATCGTCTTGTTTGTGTTATCAGAGGCTACAGGCAACTCAACCTGCAGCTGCTGTTTCTGTAATCTTGCACGGTTCCATTTCTGAGCCTGCCCATTCTGCATTTACAAAACTCTTGCAGCTACAAGACATCCTAAAGTTTGTATTTAGTTTTTCCTTCCCCAGCCAAGCAGTGTTATTGACGCTCTCTTCCTTCTTAAAGGGACAGACATTAATTCCTTTAAAGAGTGTCGGCCCATCAAACAGTCGCTCATTTCATCTCCGAAAAACTTGCAAAATAAATATGCAGCCCGTTTGTATTGGGTTGTTTGCTATTTATCAGAGAGCCTAATCATGCCTCTTCAGCAAATAAGAACATAAGAAAAGCCATTGCTAGGTCAGACCAAAGGTCTGTCTAGTCCAGCACTCAATACACACGGTGACGAAACGACTGCTCACGGGATCCCTCAAGCAAGATAGGTGCAAGATCACCGCCTGTCCAAGCTCCTCAGCAGCTGGTATATGCATGATAAGCGTATGACAGACTTTAAAGCCGCAATGCTATGAACGCTGCTAGGTTCTGCTTGCACGCGTGCACATACGCATTTTACATTCCAAACACTGGAATGGCAACAGTTCAAGCGACCAAAACTGGAAAAAACTAGTAAAAGCCACCCTCACGACCCTCCCAAGGTGACGATGGGAGGGGGTGGGAACATTGTTCAACAAAAGGGAATCACTGAGGGGCAAAGCTAGAACACGCCCCTCATCGCTGCTTTAAGCGACTGGAAGTTGGTTGTTCTCTATTCCGGAATAAAGTTCTTTCTTTCGCCTTAAATTTCGCCTGGCGTATGTCTGACTCCCCAGTCATACTTGCATCTTAATTTTTATGGCATTAATTGGCGACTGCAGCAGGACCCGAAACTATAACTTTGGTGAGATTCTCATAGCCTTCCGTGGCCAAGCGAGGTCTCTTGTGCCTTATTTTTGAAAGGCTCCTGGGATCTGAGTAGAGCAGCGCGAGAACAAAAGCAGTCAGAAGTCGATTTAAGGGATTACGGCAAAAGAGGGAAACAAACAAACCAATGAAAAAGAGGGAGGGAAGCTGGCTCCCAGTCGACCGATGGTTCTGAGGTGCTCTGGAGCTCCTGTATTTGGTGAGTAAAGAAAGGGGGGAGCTCCCCCCACCTTCCTTTGCCCCCATTGTTTATTGGGCAGGTTTGTGCCTAAGTCGGCTTGGGACGGGGTACGGGTCGCGCCGCAAATGCCGGAAGTTTGGGACTCAGACAGGCTCCACCTCCAATTGCCGCAGTCGCTGTCTGCTACGTCCTGGGCAGCAACCGGGCAAGCAGACCCCGCCTCCCTTTTGTTTCCACTAGACTGCTAGAAGACCTCAGAGGCGGCCAGGCAAGCGTTTCTAGGACCTGGGCAGCCAGGCAAGCAATTGACTTTGCAGTTGTATGCTTTAAGCCCTCAGCACGAGCTCATGAGCTTGGTTTGCAAGGGCCATAAATGAATTTGGGTGAACACACATCATATGATCATGAGTGGGGGCAAGAGTACGACGGTCAGATCAAGCACATCCTTTGACTGATTTTTGAAAGATTGGAAGTTGGTGGGACGGGACTAAAAAAAGAGAATGGTTCCATTGTACGTTCTTTTGAGTGACCTAAGGGACGTTTGACCGAAGCATGATCGCTCAGCTGCTAGCCAACGGGGAAATTTTTGATGAGAATGATTTTATGTTGAGTTTGGAGAAAGCTTCTGAAAGTAAGAAAATCCTAGAATGCGCTTAGATTGCTTTACTGAGCTCTACTCCCCTTAAAGGGACAGTGAAGCTTTTGCTTGCTTTATGAATTCACTATACCCTGCAGGGTAAGAGAAGATCCAGCAGGGGTCACTATTCCTACTTAGAACTCAGAGAAAAGGAAAGCTTGCAGAGCGAGTATGAGAAATATTTTGAATAGGTGGATGGAAGTGATTGTGACTGAAATTGCAAACTGATTGTTTATGATGGAAAGGCAGTCTTGTGGAGAGTGAGGAAGTGGGTTTGGCTGGAATGTAAGGAAAAAGGGAACATACTCGTGGACCATGTGTTTGAAAATCTAGATTGCTGGAGTGCTTGGTGTGGGTGAGTTTGAGGTTCTTGGGTAATGATGGACTTGAGGGTTAGTAATTGAGCGTTTGGATATTGTTCAGTGAAAATGGTGATTTGATAAATAAGGAATCAGGAGAAAAAATAGCTAAAGGATATAGTAGGTGTCAAAGAAATCGCTGATCATTCTGGAAGAAAGAAAAGGGTTGAATGAAACTACAGGTTTTCCTGGAGGTGGGAAAATAGCCAATCCAAAGCCTAGGACGACTGCAGCTAGATCATACCGCTAGGACCAAGGAGATGCTTTAGAAGGAAGAATCGGATCTTGTGAGAATTGTAGAAAAAGCACACAGATGGCCCGTGGGTATGTGCGAAGTACAAGTGTTGTGGGGAGTTGGATTGGCTCTGCTTTCCGTCACGGAAGAGTGTTCAGCCCAGACAGGGCGAATCCCCTGAGGCAAAGGCAAGCTTAGACTAACACTCAAAAGAAAAAAAAGGTTTGTGCAAAACAGTGATGGAGAAGGTTTTGGAGGCAAGAGGGTTGTTAAAGAAAGAGAAGAATCTACAGTCTTCAAGGTTTATATTGCTTCTTCGAGGACATTTGTGTAGAGAGAGTATTGAAAAACAGAATCAAAGTCACTTTTTACACTTTTAACAAGGAACTAGGGGCATATTTTAGAAAGGGAAGTCTTCCAAAGCATGGAAGAGAGACAAAAATGTTATAGGAAATGCATCATGTTTGTATCAGCTACCAGAAAAGGAAAGAAAACCTATAAGAAAATTTGTCCTTCCAATGCCCAGATTGAATGTTTAGATAAAAATAGCTGAGTCTTTCCAGCTTGGAAGGGGATTTCTCACCCATGTGAAGTTCAGGTTTAGAATGGTCTCTATGTAGATGCATTGATTGTCTTGAGTTACCTGTGCATGTAGTTGTGGTTCAGTTGGTTTAAAATTGTAGAGAGAGAAAAAGACCAGATGACTAAATTGCCAAACCAGAAAGAGGATTTGGCAATTTCTTATTTCAGAGGCTACTATTTTTTACCTTTTGCTAACAAGAGTCAGTTCCATTAATACTATCTATATACTCTAATCAGGCCTAAAATTCAGAAGGGGAATCCTGGAAACCAAAGTGTGTGTTTTTGCACCAGAATCAGGGTTGGCAAAATTAGAATGGCCTGGTTTTTGCCAAGACCCCCTTTCCACACCTCATCCATGTGTATTATGGGATAGGGCAGGTAGAGGAAGCTGGAAAACTTGATTGATAGTACCAAATTTTCTTATAGTAGCCTAGTTTGTTGTGTGTCTGCCAGACCTAGAATCTGCCAGACCTAGAATGTAAGCAGATATGTGAGATAAGGGGGGGGGGAAGCATCTTTTCCATGGAATTTTCTTAATGAGCATGAGATTTGATTTCATTCAAGTACTGATTGTTTGGGGGGAAATCTTATTTCCTTTTTGCATGTATTTTAAATGAATTGGGAGTATTTTTGTATCTATATGCATGGGCAAGTGCCATAGCTATAGACAAGAACTTGTTGTGAAACTTGATCAGAAGACCCAAATTCAACAAAAGGTTCCACTGTCTTTACAACTTTAAGCCTGAACTAAAAAGACTTGTACTAGAACAATGTTAAAATGGCCTAAAGTACTTTCTTCAGCACCAGGATAATTCGAGCTATGCCAAGAACCCTTTTGGGACTTTTCCCTTTTTGAACTTCTATGTGGACACCTACTTGCTATGGGCTCCTCCTCGTCCTGGGAACTGTGTCCCTTATTACTGGGGAAAATAGAATTTAAGAATACGTGTTTACCTGCAGTCTCTTGTCTCCCAGCTCCATAGGTACATCTTGGGGAATCGGCCCTCTCAGTTGAACCATCCAGTATATGATAAGCAACCTGAAGACTGGTTGCTAGTGAAGACTTGGAACTGTTAGCTCCATGCTGGAGAGAGCCCTTCCAGGTGCTGCTTACCACTCTAAGTGGAAAGCTGCAGAATGTTAAGACTTGGATCCATCACAACTGCATGGAGAAGGTTGAACCCTTTGGAGAAGACTCACAGACAAGGTCAGGTACTTCATCTGACCCAGAAGAAGATGACAGCAAGGCAGCCAAGGCCTTAGCAACTGGAGAGGACAGGAAGAAGTACCCAGAAGAAAAGTGGCTTTCAAAGACCTGTTTGGATCTTAGCCTGAAGCTGAAACTGAACAGACAATTGTAGATAATCCAGGAGAGCTGCCTTCCATAGGGAAAGCAACAACCCTTTGGACTGTGCAAGAATTTGGTTGAATGTAATTATAGTTTGTGTGGCTTTAAAAAGCATTACTATAGCAGCTCTTCCAAGAGGGGGCATAAATAACCAGAAAGCATGACATAGAAGGTATGAACTTTTGTGGGCTTCTGTTAACCTGGTGGGCAGGAAGGGAACCCTGTTGACCCTAGATTCCTCTAACAACTCAATAGAATCTTTGTCCAAGACCATGACAATCTTAAATTTAACAAACTGTTGACTATGCCTGATGGCAGCTGAGAAGGGGGAGAGGTCATCATTTCTTTCAGAACCTATTAATGGAGGAGAGTGGCTAGCCCAATAATGACCCCATAAAAGAAAAACCAAACATGTGAAGAGACCAGGTATCAGAACAGAATAGTGGACATAGATTGGCAAGATGGGTGTTGGTGTTTCTGGAAAAACAAATTGGAGCGTGCTACCAGGGATATGAGAAGGTTCCATTGCACCTGGACTGGAGATTGGGGCCCATACCCCATTTGAGAATCCAGACAGTTTGATTGCAGTGCATTCTCCAGATGGAATTAGACCCATCTAAATGGTGTATGTTGTAGTAACTTTTTGTTTGGCCAATATTTTAACACATAGTAATTTTAATTGTGTAACAACTTATTTAATTTATTTTAAATAATGCTCAGTGTGGATTAGTTAACTTATTTTATTGAAGACTGAAATAATGTTGTAAGCCATCCAGAGATGACAGTAATGGATGGCCTACAGTTTTTTTAAATAAATAAATAAATCAGGCTATAACAGAATGTTTTAGTTCATTCAGTGACCAATTTACTGTTGAGGACTGGGATATATTGAAGTAACCAGATCATCATGGGTTGGTGGAACTGGAATTAAACTTTGTTTTAGGACTTCCCACATCTGTGGCTAATTCCTCTTAGTGGGCACATGGTTGTAATGCCATCTCAGAGAACTGGATTATCTAGACCATCCTATATGTGAATTGCTCACATCCTATATTCCATTCTGCCTATATGAGATTGCTGCTACCCCTCAAAGGAAAAGAGAAGAATGGATTGCTCAGAGAATAGTAACTTCCTACCACCCAGTTGCCTGGTCATGGATTGGAATTCAAGATGCCCTAACTTTCATAAATGGAATAATTATGCCACAGACAGTAGTTGAGATCTTAGCAAATGATACTGCAAAGGCTCTGAAATTAATAATTACTGAAATGTCTCAAAATCTGGCAACCATTCTCCAAAATCAATTAAATATAAATCACAGGGGGGACTTTGAGAGGTCCTTACTTGGACTAGTTGTTATTTGGAGACTGATGATAGCAGAAAAATGGTGTGGAAACTTATATATACCATGTAGCCTATGTCCCTATACAGAAAAAGGGACATAGCTTGTAGACTTGCTTAACTTCTTGGTTGCCAAAGATTGTTTGGCTAAGATCCCTGTTTGTTTATGAAATATGTTTCTGCCATTGCACTCAATGTGCTCCCAACCTCTGGAGATAGTGCAACGCCCTGCATAACTGTAGTCCTGCTTTCATTCAGTGGTTGCTTGCGAAGTACTGGTAGCTTTCTTTCCTCTATTATTCTGGAATAAGGTCTTTTCATTTGCCTTGAATCGTGCCTGGTGTGTGTGTGAATCCCCAGCCATACTTGTATCTTAGTTTTGTTAACATACAGGCATGCCACCTCTGAAAAAAGAGGTAGCATATTGCCAGCAAGGCTAGTGACAACTGATAGCCTGCTCTTTCATGAGTCTGTCCAATCCCTTTTTAAAGCCATCCAGTTTGGTGACCATCACTAGTTCCCATGGGAGCAAATTCCATAGCTTAACTATACATTGCATGCAGAAGTACTTTTATTGGACCTAAACCTCCAACCAGTTTCACAGGATGACCTTGGGTTTGAGTACGGGGAGGGAGAAAAATGCCTCTCTACTTTCTCCACACTGTGCATTAGTTTTAAACATCTCTAGTATGTCCCCACCCCCCTTACTTGCCTTTATTCCAAGCTGAACAGTCCCAGTTGTAGTCGCTCCTCATTGGGGAGCTGCTCTAGCCCCCTAATCATTTTTGTTGCTCTTTGTACTTTTTCCAGGTAAAGCGACCAGAATGGAATGCAATATTCTAAATGCAGTCACACCAAAGAGCTGTATAAGGAAAGTAAGGTTTTGGCAGTTCTAATTTCTGTTCCTAATTATTTGCCATCTTCACAGCAGCTGAGCTCTGGGCTGACATTTTCATGGAGTTTTTCACTAATATTCCATGATCCCTTTTTCTTGCTAGTTTAGTCATTGCTAGTTCAGATCCATCCTATCAGCATATACTTGAAGCTGGGATTTTTTGCCCCAATATTTTTTCCCCAATTCTACACTTGCTTATACTGAACTGCATTTGCCATTTCGATGCTCATTCTTCCATTTTGGAGAGCTTGTTTTGGAATTTCTCACAATCTCTTTTGGTTTTAACCAGCCTAAAAAGTGTTAGTGTCATCAGAAAATTTGAACTTCAACTATTTCTAATTCCAAATACAAAAACAAGTTGTCTTATTAACCAGCCCTGAATCAATTGTAGGTCAATTGAAACCCTGCAAGTGACTGGGTTATATAGCATGTGTGTGCCATTAAAGCAACAAGCTAAAACCAGCAAAGCAACAATTGCAGTATCAAACTGAGCTACATAGAATAGCTACATAAATGAAACATACTACATAAAATGTTGTAAAATATCCTGCAAAGTGGTATTGGTCAAGAAAATTGATTTTCAGATTCCAGGATGGCTGCAGTTTTCAGTACAAATTCTGGAATGCTGTCATGGTTCAAAATTGAACAACTGAAATTCAGTATTGGCTCTTACCCTCTTTGAATTATTTAAGGTTTATTGAAACAGTTTGGTCCTCTCAAACATTGCATAACAACAAACAATTCTGAATAAGCCAAGAAATCTGGCAGAAATACACATCATTTAATCTCTTCAAATAGTGAGAACTATAAACAGCCAGTTTTGTACCTTATCTCCCATTATGCTGACACAAGGTACCTACTTTCTCAGACATGCAGTTGGGCAAAACGGGCTAGCTTCTCAGTGACTTCATATATTTCTTACTGCTTTCCATCTCCACTCAGTTGAACAGAACTAAATTATTTCTGTAGCACAGCAGATGTAATAAAGCTATCAGGCATAGGATAAAAATTGAACTTACTCAAAGCAAGGTGGGGAAGAATGGAGGAAATAACTCCACATAGATTTTATGGCTGCCTGATAATAAATTAGATGGGTTATAAAGAACTTTTGTGAAATATGTTGTAAAGTATGTTTACTGATTTGTAGGATTTATTTAAATGTTTCAATGTGTTTCTATAGAACTGCTCAGAGCATAGCACAATGTATGTGGCTCTAGCGCTTGTTCCCTTCCAATACAGAATACTTCACACTTTCCTATTCATTGCAAAGCAGGGTGAGATGGTAACAATATTTGAGAGCAAATCAGAGAAAAGCAAACTTAAATCTTGAATGATGCAGATGAATGCACAGAAACGAAATAGTTAACTTGGCAGTTTACCACCGAAATCGTACCTAAATTGTTTGATAGACATCTGAGCAGAACAGGCTATTTATCTACCTAAAAACGGTGGTGTTGGCAAGTTTGTGAAAACTGAGTGATTACTGCAGTGACCGGGATTCTATTTTCGTTTGTGGAAATATTTTAATAGCCATCTTTTATATGTATTCTGTTAATTAACGGGGAAAAAATTCCCCGTAGAATCAGTCTACCACTTTCAAGATTAGAAATGTTCGCAGAATTCCGACCAAATGCGCCATATTTCTCTGGGCAAGACATATTTCATAAACAGGAAGAAACCCCGAAAAGATGCACTGAAAGTAAGGGGGAAAGGGTGGACAGACATGCAAACTTCTCTTTGTAAACAGAACGAGCAAATAAACACTGTAGGTTCTGTTTCAGGCCGGGAGCCCTAAGCATAGGACACGCGCAGCCGGCGCCCTTAATTAGGAGCACAGGAAATTAGATCAGAGGACAGGAAACTCGTTCTCTCCAGTACCATGTGGGTTGGACTCGGGATTTTTTTGCAGTCCATTTTTCGAGCACAGCTAAAATACACTTTATCTGCCTACGCCGGATTTCCCTATCTTATGCAGTTTTAGGAGACTTTTAAAAATTTCTGCATAGTCCCCTTGGATTTTGAGAGTTTTTTGTAAAATCGTTTCTTCTCTCTCTTTGTGTTAAGGATTAAAGCTAATTAATAAAATACGAAAGCTCATTCGAAACTAAATTTAAACTTTAATGTTTGGAATTCACCTTGCTTCTGCAGTTCCTTCGATTCTGGTCACTAGAAGGTACGTTGCTATCTCGACAGTGTAACAAGTCAGGAAGGGTAGCGAAGAGACGCACGGGAAAGTGGAGCAAATTACCAGCGTGTTGGAAATAGTCACATCCCGCAAAAAATATCGGAAATAAAACGTATGAATCTTCTCTCTAGCACATGAAGGACAGGAAATGTGTGTCCTGATAATACTAGGTAAAACGAAGTCCTGCACATGAGTAACCACACCCTGTCTTTTATTTTGTGCACAGATACGTTAAGCACGTACCCCGTGTTGGGCTGGGTAAGTTTCACGGCATATTTACAATTCTGTAAGTGTTGAAAAATGTAGATCGGCTTTGTTTAAAGTTTTAAATGTTACTTCTTATTTTGGCAGGTTGTGTTAACAAAGGAAAAATCACGTTAACTATTTTCTGCTCATGCTTTTGTCTTTGTCACAAAACACTCGTGATGTACCAGTGATGTACCAGTTTGTACTAGTCATCAGTGCAAAATATTCCATGTGATGTAATCCACAGTGCATATTAATCTAATCTTCCTGTCTTTCAGAATCTGTGAAAATGTACCACCTTCTACAACGATGCTCCTTACAGATTCCTTCCAAGGTAGAGTTCTATCCCAAAGTTGCAGTTTTAAAGATAACAGTTTCTCTATAGATATTGTTCACTGGAATGAATACCAATTGTCTGTCAAAAGAAGTGTCCAGCTTGTCTTGAAACTTGCAGAAACTTTAAGCATTACAGTTTAAGAATTATTTTCTTGGGTCTTAGTGAATGCTATAGGAATACCTGATATTGTAGCATTAAGATATGCATGCAAGTAGTCCTTTATACAGAAGGCCTCTGACAAATGTAAGACTAGAAGGTATATATAATTGTATTAGTCTAATCAAGACACTCATAAACCATGGTCCTTTATCATTCTAGGTCATTTAGATTAATGTTATATCTGAGACCCAGCCTAACATGGTCACTTTTTTAAAGTGTCACAAGCTTTAGTGCTATCAAATACTAATGTATTATTGCATTTGTAATTGCAGATACTGCACTTTCAAAGACTTTCACAGCCTGGAAGGTGTAAGGTTGTCCACTATCTTCTCCCTATAGAGTGTGGCCAAGTTGCCCTGCCAAAATTAGAGTGGTTAAAGCAAACATCTGGCACAATAATCAAGGCCCAGTATTTTCATTCTTCTTGCTGTAGATGGAAGAAGCAGAAAAAGCCTGAAGAACCTGAGCCACGCCAGCTGGGTTTGGTGCGATATGACATGCCATCACTTAAGGATTCTCCAAAGCCTGCCCTCTATTTAAGCTTTGCAGGATTAATTCCATTTGTTTCAATCCCATTGTTAATGGTTATCAATGAAGTATTTTACTCAGAGTTGGTGTTTGCTCATATTGCATATGGTGCCTGTATAGTATCCTTCCTAGGAGGTATCAGGTGGGGATTTGCTCTTCCTGAAGGCAGTCCTGCCAAACCTGATTGGATTAATTTGGCTAACAGTGTTGTTTCTCCATTCTTGGCCTGGCTTGCCTTGCTTTTTTACCAAGATCCCACTCAAGCTGCAGCAATGGTTATAATTGGCTTAGGGATAGCCCTGCATTATGACCTGGCCCTCCTTCCCACCTATCCCAGCTGGTTTAAAGCCTTGAGAACAGTCTTAACTGTAGTGGCTGCAGGTTCTCTGTTCACCATAATATTTATTGTAAACAACTATCCAGAGAAATCTTTAAGTAAAATTGTAAGTGAAATGAAGCAATTGAAATAATAGCAATCCCTACCAAAGGGGTTCTCTCCTGAATAAGATTTACACTAATGTCTTGCATGAAAATGCACTGTAATTCCTCCAGGAAGACTGCTGAGAAAGAAAATTGCAGCTTAATCATCTGTTTAAGAACTTGTTAGTAGTTTTGGGCTTAATAAGAACAAGTTGGTGGAGATGATAGGTGCTGAAGGTCTAAAGCTTTACACATTGATTACATATATGGTTTTTCTGTAATTTGGAAAAGAGTTTATGCATTTAAAGGCAGAATTCTTTTGTTTCTATGTACAAAAAATGTTTATGTACTTATTTGCATGCTAAACCAGAAATTGGATATGTGGGGGCTTCCTCTTCCCTTGCTTCATGATAATGTGAAATGCTACTTGAAAGCATTGAATATTGAAAAAACATCAGAAATTGTCCAGTTTGATACAGCAGTTGTTCAATTACGTTATTGCAGTATTAAATGGCTATGGGCAACTACACTGTTTTTTCTGTAGGCTATTTAAATCTCATCACCAGCTGTTTTAATTTACAACTTAAATAATCATGCTTCTGCGAAGGTTAATGTTTGTTTGCTCTCTCTTTCTTCTGTGTGCAAGGTTTCATTTTAACTTCTGTAAGTTACTATTTGCTATAGTCAGAATGTTATTAAGCCTGCAGAGAGTCCCATGGGCTATGGGGCAGCATATAAATGTAAGCAATCAATCCTATACCCACTTACAGAAGTCCTATTGAACACATTGGATTTACTCTCAAGAAACCATGTATATAATTAAGAGCTTGTTTTCATTCTTGCACTTTCTAACTTGCCAAAACTTATCTAGCTTGCTTTTGGATATAAAATGCAATCATGTATAGTATATTGTGAGGAGAGCAATCTACTGGATCCATAAACACTTTCAGTGTTCTCTTTATAACAGGGCTGGTTATTAAGTCTCCATCAAAATTTTAAGTGTCAAGGCAACAGCCCTCTTCATTTATTGGTTCCCACTCATGAGTAAACCAGCTTAGGATCTAAAGCTAATCATTACCATGCTGTTTTAGTGATAGTTGTTTTCTCAGGAAACAATCTGCATCAAGAAACTGAGTAATTTTTAAAAGGGTTCAAGGGCTCAAAACTATGTGGCAGTATGTTTTCTCATTCCATATTTTAGAGGGTTCTGGTACAGAGAACAACCTTTAAACAAATATTCCATTGGAGGTTAAGCTGTAGTTGTGTTAGGCTGTGCATTTTTCATGTTAATTGTAAAAAGGTCTTTAGTTTTTGTACTGGATATGGATCTCTGCTTACTATGATTACAAAACAAAAGGAAAACAATTTTACATTTTTAAGGACCCACAAACATACACTTAGGAACTCGAAGAGCAAGCCTTAAGGTTTTGGACAGCAGAGTGAAGCAATTACATTTTCAAACTCAAAACTTACCTATGCATTTCTTTTACCTTTGTGGCAGGACAAATTGCCAAGATCCCAAAATGACATAGGGGAGTAGAAATATTTATTGCATTCACTTTCAAACTGTCAGGAAATTCTTTTAATCTAGGGAGCATGTGTACCACACTAGGCTTCACGTTGTGTTGGACTTGTAACAGGGAAAAATGTAAGTGAAAGAACACATTCCAATAAGATATACTGTATTTCAGCTGTTCCGAACACATAAGACAAAGAGGTATTTGTTTTTTCCTATTTTTTTAAAATAGAACCTGACCATGAAATAGTCTTCAGCAAAGTGTTTCTGAGAGTCTGAATGAACTTCATTTGAAACAAATTCCATTTAAACTAGTAAAGTTCACTTCCAAGTTAAAGTGTGCATTAGAATTAATCTTTTGGACAACAGTGGAATGTGGCTTTAAAAGCATGGGGAAACTTGTATGGGAATATTCACATGTATCTGGAGGCTCAAAATCAAGACATTAGCCTTCTCTACCTAAGTTGTGTGTCAATTCTTACTACTCCATGCCCGTATCATCTTAACAATCCACCATCATAAATAGACATAGAAGCAATTCAGTCTGCAGACTGAAGAGGCATTTTAGGTGGTACAGCGGAATCCAGGATCTTAAGTTACTACTGCTCCCATGCTGTCAAGCTAATTTCTAGTATTTACTATAGAACATACTTTTAATTGAACAGATGTCTCATTTCAACATGAAAGCACACTATGTGAAGTGGATCCTTTCAAAGTCAATGGAATGATGAAGGTAGTTGTGTTTTACAAGTCATACAATATTTTGATTTCCTTTCCATGAAAGAATTGTAAAGATTGCTGAAGAGGAAGTAACGAGCTGTGAGATGTAAGCTACCCTTATTCTGTGGATGTATGGAAAGTAATTGAATTAAAGACACAGTCTTATATTCTAAAAGTTTTTGGCAATTAAATAAAATTCCCACAGATATTGCTAAGCAATAACTGCATTGTCATTTTGTTGCCACTTTCTAAGCAAAATAATTTATGCAATGATAAGCAGAAACCTGTTCTTAAATAAATAGCTTTATGGATTTTCATGAGAATTTGGCTACTTTGCACTCACCTTAAAATGTTACAATAACTAGGTTAAATTCTCAGTTTCAAAGCAAGTAAGCCTAAACTCATTCCAGTTATCTTCAAGCACAGAAGTGAGGAATCTACAGTCTTCTGGATGTGGATAGACTGTAACTCCTATCATCCCTGATCAATATCTGGGGCAAAAGGTTCCCCACCCCTGCCCTAGCTGATGACAGATTTCCCATGTGTCAAAAGTCATGTGCTTCACAAAGATATAGTGCAGTGAACAGTTGCATGTGTTTTGGAAGTGTATTCTAATTGTAGCCACTCTTTCTTGGGAGTTACCAAAAACCTCAACATCTCTCAGTCACTTAATTCACACTCCAAATTTTGTACAAGTACTGCATTCTTCAGAGCACTGCTATGCCACCTTCACAACGACTGGTGATCATGTTTGCAATTTCAGTCCATGTATCCGTATGTGGGTTATAAACCTCCACAGAATCTGAAGTTACTGGGGCAGCTGAATCATAGCTAGCAGTTCTGCCTCCTGTGGCATAAAGGAGGCCATTCACAGCAACAACGCATACTCCGGCTCTTGGGGCCTTCATTGAAGCAACTTCCACCCATTTCTCCTAATGATTAAAACAAGTATTAAAATACATTTTCTATGCAATAAGGAAAGGCCATACTGAATTAACTTGTTTTTTTATTGGTAAAGTTCAATTTTTCTTCAATTTGCCCTGCAGTCTCCTAAGCACCTGAAAAATCTGCTCTGAAGGGTTGGGGGAACCATCCACACCCATGTGAACTAGTACTGTACTCCACATGCGGAAGGAGAAATTGGGGGAAATTGCTACTCTGCCTTCTTCCTCCAAGCAGGGGATCTCTTTGTAACTCGGTTTCCAGTTTAATGTTCATAGATCAAAGCTACCTAAATACATTATACAATAAATAGAACTGTGCAGTCTTGCTAGAAAGTCTACCATGCTCCACTTTATGACAGATTGACCCCGACTCAATCTGGGGCTCTAGCACCATCCTGAAGCCCTGCCCCCCAAGAAGTGAAGCTGACTGTAGTGCAGGGGTGCAGAATATTGGGTAGGGACGAATTTCCCCACCAGGCATTCCACAGGGGAGAAGATTTCAGGAGCATGCTTATGTCCTACCACCCCACCTATTTTGCCTTTCTCTGTCTTGGGAGAAGAACAGAGTTCCATACCTCTCCCAGGAAGGAAAAAGGGACTTTGGCAAGTACTGGGAGGGGCAGCCAGTCTTTTCAGCACTGTTTCCTTGGGTTCAAGCAAATGGTGAAAGAATCTGAATGCTCCTGGGGAAAGAAGCTACTCATTTCAGTGTTAACCATGCCCCTGGCTTCAGGAAATGCATGGAAGCAATCAGATGGTGTGAGGAAGAGCAGCTGGTGTCTCCTGAGTAGTCTGGTCCATCTTCCTGCTCATATCTACAATCTGAATGGAGGTAGCAGTGGGGATTCCTTCTTTGGGTGGGCATGGAGGCTTCATGGGTCAGAGGTTCCACATCCCTATTGAAGAGGAACATTTATGTAGCTCACCAACAGCCATTACAAAGGCTACTGGACTGAAAAAGACAGCTGCTGCTCTCATGTTGCAGCATTTGGTAGCAAGATTGTTCCCTGCAGGCTCATTCTTCTGTTCTAAACTTAAAAAGAGCAGTGATTTTCAAAATAATTCCTGTTAGTGGAAATCCCAAGAAAAACCTAAATAGGAAATTGCCTTGTAAGTTATTTCCCATGCACCAGTGGGGAACAGTGGTTAGAGTGTCAGACTAGGACTCCAGAGATTTGGGTTCTAGTCCCCACTCCTCCATGGAGCACAATGGATGACTTTAGGTCAGTCACATATGCCTAGCCTAATGTACTTCACCAGGTTGTGAGAAGGTAAAATGTAGAGGAGGAGAATCTTATAAGCTGCCTTGAGCTCTTTTGCAAGAAGAAGAAATGTGAGTTATAAATGTAAAATAATAATAATAGCAACCACCACCACCAATAAGAGATCCTTTATAAATAAAACATTGCAAGTATGTTTCTCAAGCTAATCCTTAACACATTTTAATGTGTTTCAGCCCACATTAATAATTGATACTTTTGCAGCTACCAAGTTCACAACTTCAAGAACAATGTTGGGCTGTAGCAGCAAGAAGATAAAAGGGCTGCAACACTCTTTAATGACATGGAATTTTGTAGTTATCAATGTGCTTCATCAGATATAGAAGATGGGCAATGAAGGTAGTAATCTTGGCTACATTATCTTTCTCAGAGGTTTTCTGTTGGGGAGCCCAGCTTCTCTCATCTTAAGTTCCTCTACTGCTACATATATATAGTTTCGATTTCAGCATCAATAGTTAGTCATTCTACCCATGTCATGCTACACACTGCTTTGGCAGTTTCTAATTCTTCTGTTCCACCCCTACCCATGCCCCATAGGGTGATCAGCACAAGAATTATTTTGCTCTTTGTTTCAAAACCATTTTCCTTTTCTTAAACTTATGGTCTGGTTAAGGGTAGATGGGGGGTGGGGAGGCCACATGACTGCCACTAGGGCCACTGATTCAGCCAGATGGAGAAACAGAGTCAGCCAATTAGCTCTCTGCCCAGCTAGCTTCTGGAAATATGAAGAACTGATTATTCCTGGACTCAATTCAGTTTGGAAGTTAGTATATCTATCCCAAAATGGCGTACTACTTCAAATATGTATAACTGTGCACAGCTTTATGTAACAAGCTGATTGAACTACAGTGAGGAGAAAAAACTTTTGATGCTCGATAACCAATTCAAAGAAATTTATGGTTATCTAGGCAAACTGTTAAAGATTAGCATAATTAAAAATGAACAGAACTTGTAAGGGGACGCTACCTCTTCAAAGGAATATTTCTCAACAGTTGGAAGAGCATCTTGATTCTCATTCCATCCTCCAACAGCATAGATGCAGTCATCCAGAGCAGCCACACCCAGGTATGCCCTTCTGGTTCCCATTTCAGGGAGTACAGACCAGCGCTTAGATATTGGGTTATACTCTTCTGCAGAACACAGTTCTATTCCTTCATTGCCAATGCCACCAACAACATAAATTAAACCTGGAAACAAGTATTTTCCATTAAACTCATGCCACTTGAATACACTTGGTAATAAAACAGGCAGTACTAACTGCAACCCACAGCCAGTTATTCCCAAGAATATGAATGGTTTAATGGGTTTAGATAGACTACTGACTGCAAACCAAGGTTGCTTTCTGCAAAGTCAGAGTTGTTTTGTACCATAGTATTTTTTACCTTAACATTTAAAATTATCATGCACAACCTGCGCAATATCCTTAACAGCACACCTCTTGAATGGATATCAGTATCACCCTACACATGTCCACTCGGAAGTCCCACAAGGCAAATGTACCTTACTCCCAAGTAAGTGGATCTGGTCCAGATGGCACACAATCACCCACAATGGCTTACTTTAATTTTGGGGCTGTTGCATTATGCTTGGAGCCTGTAGGGACCATTTTTGCATGATGTCCATCCTTTATTTCAGGACCATCTAATCCTTAAACAATACTTGCTACCACTTGACATAACTATGGCAAGCCAGATGCCTGCAGACAACATGCAAACATAGCTCCCATGGGTGACCAACATAATGCAAAAGCCCCCATGGGTAAATTGAGCCGGTTCAGTGTACATGGTTGCCAAAGAAGCACTAGGTTTTGCACCTGGACAAGGTAATACTTAGGCCAAATAATGTATTCAATGCTATTATAATTATCTCTGTGTGGAATGGGACTGTGTCACTATGATGAATATGCATTTAATAATATTTGTGACATAAACAGGAATGTGTAACGATTATCTAAATATACAGTACAAGCCCACTCACCTTGCATTTCACAGCACCCAAAATTGTAGCGTGGTACAGCCATGCTGCCCACCACTTCCCAACTGTTTTCTTCAGGATCAAAACGTTCAATTGAACTGCCAATCTCTGCTCCAACCCAGCCTCCTGGAAACCAGAGAAAGCATGTGGTTAAGAAATACTATGCATCACAAAGAGCTCACCATCTCCTTGATGCAACCACATCTGTAGTTGGGTTAAAAAGGCTGCCTCAGGTAAGCAAGGAGAATGAAGGATTCTAGATTAATGGACCCCAAAAGTATTGTTTCATTAACCAAGAACCAGTGAAGATAGGGAATGCCTGAAGTTATAAGACATTATTTTATCTAAACTTGTTTAGGATGCACTTTTTGTAGCACTTTTTTTTGTCTAAATGTATACAGGATTGCACCCTTAAGCATCTAAATAGTAGCCAAAACAATTTTTATAGCTGTAGTCCTTTTTACTTTTCTGCCATGTGTGATATCATTATTTTTATGCACCTAAGTCTATAACCACTATGTTGTATAACCATAGCTTGCAACAGCTTAAGTTTTTAAACTTTCTGGAAACAGAAACCATACAGTGAGCAAGCTAATGGTGAGGAAATTCACAACTAAGTCCTTTTGTTTTATTTAGGCAAACATTTCTGCTTGGCCATTGCGAAAAAAGATACTTTAAGAACCTATTAAGTTCCTGCCATCATACATATTCCAGTGATATTCCTATTCTCAGGTGTACCAACACAAACTGCTTCTAGCTTAAAGAAAGTAGATTTATTAGTCAAAGGACTTGCCAAATGCATAGATAGTCCCATAACAGGCACAAACTCCTAGTCCACAGCGAGGATGATTCATGGAAGCTACAGTTGCCCACTGCTTAGTAATAGGATCATAGCGTTCAGTGCAGTCAAAAATCATGGAATCTTTTTCACCTTAGAAGAGGAAAAAACAGAGAATTTAGGTATCTTTTTTTTGTCTTCAACACACTTCTCAACTAATGGCAGAAAAATGGCTCATCAATTTGAGTGTCTTAAAATAGTTTAGAGGTTGCCAGAGCTAACGCCCTCTCCATGTCACAATGTATGATCAGTAAATGGACTCTTACACATTCTTCATTAGAGAGAACACTAGGGGAACAATTAATGCTTTAATAAGCAAGGAAAATTGATTGTATCTTAGTAGTTCACCATTATACACAGTCATAGCTCTAGTAATAAATACTTGAAAGTTGACTACTTCTCCATATATCCCTTGCATTTTATTGTATGCATCTGTAAAGCATCAACAAGAAATTTATATGTTCTAAAAGATACACATTTGTCAGCATTAGACATAGTTACAAGAGCTGGCCTTTCCTTCAATGATTCTAACAACGGAGGAATATATTTAGTTCCAAGATCATTATAAATAGAACATTCTAGGAGTATGTGAACAATATCCTCAACTGATATGAAACTGCAACCACATATCCTTCTGAGGAATCCGTTTATGCCAACCCACCCAATCTGCCAAAGGAGGAACTTTTAATTTTGTCCTGGTAAGAGGTACCCTTATTTTAATGTTTGGCAAGTCTACCAAATATTTTGAGAGAGATAGGTATGAAAGCATAAAGGATTGGCAGACCTTAATCCCAGCTACCTGAGATTGCATCTCAGTATCTTTAAACCTTTGAAGCAGTAGTGTTTTAGGTCTATCATACCCTTGAGCTAAAATCAAGGGCTAACAATCCCAAACTCATGACAGCCAGTTGCATTTTTTGCTTCTGTGAGTTTGGGCCCATCTCTTCAAATGACTCCAGAACAGATTCTGAGATCTACTTAAAAATTATTTTTAATAGCAGCACAAATCTAAGAACTTCAGTATTATACTGTGGTGGCCATACTCTAACCTCCCCAAAGCAAGTTCTTCAGTATAGATAATCCATCATGCTATTCTGTATAAGCAATAAGCAATAATTTAATTTGTGCAAAATTCAAAGTATCCTGGAAATTATTTATGAGTTAATGGAAAAAAGGAAGGCAATAAACTGAGTGATGAGCACATTAATGGCAGGATGATAGCTAATAGGAGCAAATTATAATTTAATTTCCAGTCTGTATTATCTCTACAAAGATGCGGGATGGAATCTTGCTTTTAAAAATATAAAGGAAGAGGAAGGAAGCTAAAGTCATTTGGAATCCAGCTTCTGCCTTTATATAAAGCTCCAGCAGTTATTTGCTTTAGTATGTGTGTTCTGCCTTTCTTGTTTGTCTAGCACAATTTGCTCTGCCATCATCTTTTGTAATGCCTCAGTTCTTAGTGTGAAACATGCTGTAATCTGGAGTATGGACAGGAAAGGATTGCTGTGTGTATAGAACAGGCTCTGGGCAAGGAGATTACCCTTTTTTCTGGCTCTGTGATCCCTTGGACCATACCCTCAGCTTTATGCAGCTTAAGTGCATCAGTTATAAACAGCTGTGGCATTAAAAACAGAACATAAAAATTGCCAGATGACAAGAGCCACAATTATTGATTTCTTCTTGTTGTGGCATGCATGCTTCAAGGAACATTTAGAACATGAACATATCAAGTGTTCTCAGGAATCTGGGCCAGAAATGTCTGAGCACCGCAAAAAGTAAATTCCAACTCTTGAAAATTTGCAGCTGAAATCCTGCTATCGTTGTGATCTATGAATAAAATTCTGACTCCAATTTTCATTTTTGTAATCCTATTGTCTGATAACAACACCCAAAGAGGAGCTTGTTGGAAGCAGAAAATGGATCTTTTTGCTGAATATCACGCCAACTGACGTAATTCATGAATGGTTACTTCAGCCATTAACAGAATTGGAAAAAAAATTCCGTATCACAGAACTGCAGAAGCCTGGAGAGAACTATGTATATAAACCCTTAACATTCTGAGTGTTACTCTCACCACCACTATGTACAAAATATAGTTTGTTTTTGGCAGCAATTTTACAACATCCTTTGCAAAAGTAGCTGAGTCAAAGCACAGTTCTGCTTTGAAGTTCAATACTTTGTAGGAGGGACTAGTGTTTGAAATGGTAAATGAAAGAGTTCTGCGCGCAGACAGTCCCAGGTATGGCATCTCCCATAAAAAGGAATTGGTAGCAGTGATGAAAAAGACTGCTGCCCTGAGACACCGGAGAGCTATTCCCAGTCAGAGTACACAATACTGAGCTAGATGGACAAATAGTCTTAGTACCAGGGAGCTTCCTATGTTTCCTAAAACCCACAGAAAACTGTTGTTACTGAATGGAAGCAAGTAATGGGATTTTTAGCAGTAATACAAGTACAAAGAAGAAAATAATATGAGGTACCAACTTGTTAAGCAAAAGTTCCTGCTGGTTTCATAGTTTTATAAAGGGCTGCATACATGTATGCAAATTAGCCAGTGCAGTATAGTAGTTAGCATATCAAACAAGGATCCTGGAGACCCAGGTTCTTATTCCCACTTAGCTATGAAGCTCATGGAGTGATTTTGGGCCACTCAGCCATTGAGCCTAACCTACCCACCTCACAGGGTTGTTCTGAAGGTAAAATTGAGAGGAGGAGGATAATGTGGGCCACTCTGAGTTCCTTGCAAGAGGAAATAGGGCGAGATTAAAATGTCATAACAACAAATAAAAGAACAAAATATATACATAAGTACATTAAGGGATGTACAGGGATGCCTGTTCAAAAGTTCTTTACCTCCAATAGCATAGACCATTCCTCCTACCACTGCAACTCCCAAGCCACTGCGAGCCTGGTGTAAGGAAGACACTGTAGTCCAGTACTGACTGAAAGTGTCAAAACGCTCCACACAGCTAAGTGCTCTGCTGTCACTCCAACGGCCTCCTTGCAAGCGGGTATATCCACCTATGCAGGAAACAGAAATGGTATAAACAATTAGATGCTTCTCAGGCATTTCCCTAGTACAGCCATCCCCAACCTGTGATCCTCCAGACATTTTAGACTTCAGCCCCTGCCAGTGGGGCCAATGGTCAGGATGCTTGTGATTTCTGTCCACTTCACTAAAGATCACCAGGTTGGAGAAGGTGGTCCTGACAGTCCAGGTTTTGCAGACCTCTTAATGCTAACTAGGATCCTTACCTACTGCATAGAGGTACTTCCTGGCTTTCCTCCGAGGACGTGCCTTAGCTGCCTGCAGAAAACTGCTAACCTTGCTTTCTTTGGGAGATTTGCACACTTCACAGTACTCTTTTAAGAGGGTTTGAAGGGCCACCCGAAGACTGAAATCAGGAACACCTTGGGAAGAAAAACATTGTAATACTTAGTAAGAGTTTATCTAAAATAAACCATGGTGTATGTTTTGCATGATTACATTTTTATCGACTGATTAGTTGGGTTCATAGCTTGTCTTTACTGAAAAACAAAAGTAGTCCATATTTTTTAAAAAACCCTAATAAACTCATATATGCCTTCTTGTTTATCCCAATGGTTAAATACCAACATAAAATTTTAAAAATTGTAGCACACTGCAACATTATCATGGATCCCAAAGTGGCAGTGTTTTAATGTAAGAGAATGTGCCTCTACTTGAATACCTTTGTCCATAGCTGCTAAGCCTTGACAAAATCAATCCACAGAGCTTACGTGGGTCACACAGTGAAGTGAAAGTATAAGAAGTAAAAATGCACATGCTACCACATACTCAGTTACCTTCTATGTACTTCAAGAGTCTTTGTGGGGGTAGCAATGGAAATCTAACTGTATCCAGTATTTCCACAACGTATTTTTTCCTTCTACCCAAATCCTTTAGAATCCATTGCATTGCAGCAGTGAACACCTGGTACTCATCCTCTATGCTCAGCTCCTCACTTCGCAGGATCTTAATAAGCTGGTCTTTTGTCAGGGCTAGGAATTCCTCTCCATTCTGGATGTCTAGGAAGTGGGCATGGATATAATTCTCTGTGAAGTCTAGCAGATCATGACAGGCAATTTGCTCGGAGAACTGGAAGAGTCCAATGCAGTTCATAGGATCAATCTGTCCCTTTAGAAATTCACAGCAAAGATCCACCACTTCTGTGAGCTGGAACATGTCGGCTGCCACAATCAACTCCTGGACATTACTTTCACCAATGCTGACTATGCCTGAGTGCACAAGGGAAACAGATTTTGAACTAGTACGAAACCTTGTCAACACCATCGTGAATTTTTTGCCCATAAAAGCTGTGATTGTTCCTTGAAGAACATGCACACACACGATTGTCTCATTACCAATATCTTGGAGGAAAACCAACAGCAATTAAAATAATAAGCTGATTAGGAAATGGTAAACTTGGGCAGTTTTGCCACAACTAGAATTTAAGTGGGTTTTCCACATTGACAGAATGGCATAGTTTAAAAGTTTTTCCACAGGGAACCAACAATTAAAAAATGTTAAATTAACATACCACTAACTAACTCTGTTTGTATATTCAGAAGTTGCACTTGAGTGGTAAGTTTGTGTCTGAGTTATATCTTCAGACTGTAGATAAGAGCTCATACATTTGAAGACTCCTCTGCACAGTGGTACCTTGGCTCATGAACTTAATCCGTTCCAGGACTCTGGTCGTGACCCAAATTGGTCGTAAGCCAAGTTAAATTTCCCCATAAGTTTCAATGTAAGTTTAATCCATTCTGTAACCATTTTTTAAATCAGAAAAATGTGAAGCAAGGAGACAACAACAAAAATCATGGCCATCTCCGCCCCCACACATCCCGAGCACAAGCGCAGCCATCTCCCTGCCCCCCAGCGTGACCAAGATAGCTTCTATCATCCCTGCATGTGTCTGTCATCCTGGCGTGCTGGGGGGTGGGGGGGGAGAGACAGGCGCAAACGACGTGCTGGGGGAGGGAGAGATGGGCACGACCTCGGCCATCCCCCCCACCCCCAGCACGATCGCGGCCATCTCCCCCCCCCCCACCCGAGTGCTGCTGCAGGAAAGATGAGTGCAGCACAGCCCAGCTGCGGGGGAGATGGCCGAGATTGTGTCCGTCTCTCCTGCAGGAGTGCGCTGTGATCACGCATGCCTTCCCTGCACAAAAGCAACTGTGATTATGGCCATCTCCCCACTTGGGGGTGGGGGGCAGAGATGGCTGTGATCTTGGTCGCCACCCAATGTGGAGTTCGCGACCCAAGTCAACATTTTAATGAAATTTTTGTTCATGACCCGATTTGTTCGTGAACCAAGGCGTTTGTGAGCCGAGGTACCACTGTATTTGTCCCCAGTTGCTGCACATTGTAAATTAACATGTAAGAGAGAAAGCTAAATTAGAACCTTTCTCTCTGACATGCTACCTGTCAATGCATAGGAAACCATTTGTTTATGGAAGAGCCTTCAGACATGCAAGCCTCCACACTCTGAAGTGGTGATGTCCAGACTCTCTCACCTTTGATTTATGAGAATAAGAACTGTTATGTTCTGTGAAGCTGTAGAAATTCTGTATTCCCTGCAGCCACAGCAGCTTCTAATATAATTTTGTTGAAAAAAGTTACATAGTCATCATCATCACTATTTATTTATATCTTGCTTTTCCTCCAAAAAGAACCATGAATTGGCCAACAACATCACAATACAATAGCATCAAATAAAATAGCAAATATACTATGCAAAAATTATCTAAGCACAAAAATGCTATAATAAAGTGAATAAATTAACTTTCTGTTTAAAACTTAAATATGAAGACAGTTAAAAATATAAATAGATAAATATATTACACAAAGGACAAAAATACACAGCCTCATTTTAACATGCAATTAAAATTTTAACACATTTTAACATGCAATTCCCAGTCTAACAGCTAATATATTAGTTGATTTCTCTCTTTTAGAAGTGCTTTCAAACATAAAAAACCAGGCAGAACCAATTAATACAGTAATTTTACAGTACAGCCTCAACCTGTCTATGCTAATTTGGTTGAAAGTGCTACTTATTTAAGTAGCACTTACTTTCAGAGAAGTGAGCTGCACATTGCATCATTAACACTGTGTTCCCATAGAGACAGCCAATAGTAATGTGTAAAATGGGTAGAAAAACCTACATCCACTCAATGTGATATTGGATAATGCTCATCTGTTTACTTAGAAGCCCCTCCGATAGGATAGCAGGGGACGGGACATCTATGAATAGTTGGTGGTAAAACTGAAAACTGTAAGTAGTGATTGAATCAAGACATTTGATTCACAAACTCACATGATATTAAAGCACTTCCACAAAGCATAATAAGAAGTTTGTCTACCTGTGTAAATAAAGTCCAGAAGAATCTGAAAGATGTCTGCATCCACACCCAAGATCCGCACAACATCCTTAGAAGACTCTTGCATTCCTCCCGTAAACAGAGCTACAAAGTAAGGACTGCTTGCAGCCAAGACAAGCCGGTGAACCTTAAATACTTCCTCACCAACCTGGAGCTGCACATCACAGAAGTGCTGTCCACATCTCATCTTATTGATCTGGGCCAATACAAGACGAGCATGTCTGTCTGCCATGAAAGAGAACTCACTTGTGCTGGGACTAGTCACACAAGCCATGACAGACTGACAGAGAAAGTGTGTGATTGATGCCCATCACCCTAAAGATGACCTGGTCCTAGGAAGAACAAGAAACATATTGAAAATTACAAATATGATTATGTGGTCAGTGCTGAACGTAATGAGTTACAGTAACTCCATCAGTTTTACTAAGAACACTTCCAGATACCATCTGAGCAATAATGCAAAGGTTGGTGATAATCATTTTCTTCAGGCTTTTCCTACCACTATCCAACTATCATCTTATTATGCTCCCATCTGCTCCCACTTCCATGCCTTGGAAGACCTCCACTTTCCTCCAGAAGACCTATTTAATAAACCAGCTCTAAATATTGGAACAATTTTGTTATTATCTTTGTTACCCAGTATAAGTTTAAAAAAAAAAAACATCTTAGCTGACAGAGAAGAGCATTATAGCTTAGGGGAAACCCTGCAGATTTTCATACCAAAGGAACACAATGACATACTCTTAACACACAGGTAAGTAACCCATGCACTTTCGAAGTTGTGCATTTCACGGCATAGTCTCCCAATTACAAATGTTCCTTATTTTAAACTTGTCAGCTACAACATGTCAGTTTTCCCCACCAAGTCTAACCGATTGGACATCCAGCTATTTTATGTGACAATGTCGTGTGTGTATGTGTACGCGCGCACTTGCAGCCCTGACGCAAATCGCAGCACTAGAGACATGACAGCTTAACACAAGCAGCATTATTATCTCTGCCGAGATAGCAGAAATGCCCGAAAATACAATTACGGTTCATCTTAACTGTCTCACTTCAAGGGGTGAGGTAGGAAGGTACTCCCCACTACGCGCACACACGATCTTCAAAATGGGAATAAGAGGCCAGAAGGGAAAGAGGCAGAGAGGGTGCAATGCTTGAAGCCCTGCCACTTTTCATAATATGTGTTTCTTTCGCTTTCGCTCGCTTGCTCTATAAACATAAATATATAACGGGGTCAGGCCCCTGCAACCACCAGCCGCGCGACTCTGCCGTTCTTCTATTTAAGAGCTGCCCGAGAGGTTTCTCTCCATAGCCCGAACAGAGCAGGGCAGGAGCGAGCGGAAAGGAGTATTATTAAAAAAAAAAAAAAACAAAAAAAACAAAAAAAAACCAAGCCCACGTAAGCGAATAGCCAGCAACCCACCCCCAGCAGATTTCCTTCCGTTCCTACCTTCCCCTGGAGGTGCGGCTGCCGACGGCAGATGCAGGGACGGGCGGACGGATGGGCTGGCGGTCGTCCCGGAGGAGGAGTCGAGCAGGCTCCGCGGAGCAGCGCGTGCACGTGCGTGGCCGCGAGGCGGGGGTGGGCCGAGCCTGCGCAGTCAACTTGAGGCAGCGTCAGCGCGGCGCGTGCAGCCCTGCCGGGCGGTGGCGGGGAACGGGTCGTGTAGAGCTTTTTCTAGTCGGGTTTGCGAGCAGCAGCGAGAGGGAGCTGCAGAACTGGGTTAGTGGTAGCCGTTTTAGGAAGGGAGGCCAGGTAAGAAGGCGGCTGCGCCCGCTGCCTCCTCAGGTGGCATTATTGCTACACGGTCAGCGAATTGAAGGCTTTTATCTTAAATTTTTTGATTTACTTGAGTATCTGTTGAATTGCCTTATGCAGTTTAAGTTGCCTTGGGCCTCTTAAGGCACAGTTCGTGGGCATCTTGATCTCTCTTTGAGGGACATATTTTCACCCCAAAGTTGGCAGTTTAGACATTAGTCACTTTGTATTGCATTCGTCATTACAAGGGTTGAAATTTTGTAACAGGTCGGTTTTCAATAAAGACTGTTGTTCAGCAAACATTTTTTATGCCAGGCCACAGCCAGTTCTAGGGAGCTGAGTTTATTCCAAGGAACAAATTTACCAGAATATGTATGAAACTACTGAATTTGCTATCATAGATAACCTATTAGGTTGTGAAATTTGTTAAGCAAGGCAAACCTGTTGGACATTTGGCCTGGTACAAGCTTAATAGACTCACTGGTGACCCAGTAATTGATATTCTGTTAAGTTTTACCTAACTGTGAGTTTAGTTTTTCCTAGATCACTGTGCAGCAGTAGTAGGGAAAATGTTGACTACAGTCAGTGTTTCAGTCACCAGCTCTACCTCATAATTCTACCTTCCTGTCCCCAGATATGTCTGGTTGGGGTCTTAATATTTGAGATAGGCAATTTTTCATATAATTTCATTAGAATGCATCATATTTATCAACAATATTCAAGAAATCACTAGAAACATATGGGTTAGCGTACTAGGCTGCTGAAAGATAGTGAAACTTTGATTTACGTTGATATAGTCATAAATACTGTAGACTCTCCGTTAACTGGAACTCAAAAAACCAGCAAAAATAGAAATAATACTTTAAATAAAAATTAAAATATTTCTAGCAGAAATGTAAATTTAAACTTGGCATGCCGTGTGCTGCGCCATGAGTAAGCCCATGCTTTATGCACCACATGTTTGTCTCCCACCAGTACACCATGTGTAAACCTACCAATCGGATGGGATCTGTTGTTGTTCAAATTTTGTGCTCTCACCCAACCCCAAATATGGTTTATGTTTACCTTACATTTCTGCTCTACCAAGATGCAGAAATGCGCTCCTGTGTACTGAAAACACTTTCAAATTGTTGTTCCTCCAGTTTCAAACAGTTTGTCACTGGTAAGTTTTATTGGCCATGCTGCTGTTTTGTTGATACTGTGTTTTTTTTATATTGGCTGAAGCATCATTTTAATATACTATACTTATAATTTTGTATTTTTACACCTGTATTTTGGTTGCCACCTTGATGTCCAGAAAAGCAGATTATAAGTATTTAAATAATGGGTAAATTAATAAAAACATTATTTTTTCACTGATATCTCTGCAAACAATTATGATAGGAATTTAAAGCAAAGCATTTAGCTGCTTTATTGATTTATTAGATTTATGTCCCACTTTTTTTTCTTTTTTAAAGTACTCAAAGAGGCCTATACTCTTCTGTTCTCAATCTTACCCCACAACAACCCTGTGAAATGGGTTGGGCTGAGAGTCTATGACTGACCCAAAGTCACCCATTTGGTTTTATGGTTGAGTGGAAACTAGAACCCAGATCACCTGAGTCCTAGTCCTGCAATCTTAACCACTACACAACACTGACTCTCAGTGATAGTTTTGCAGTATATTGCAGTTATATTTTTGTGATATAAATGGTTACAACCCTTTGAAATGCATACTGCCCTATTTAGGTAAAGCCTAAATACAACTCTGAGACTTGACTGTTACTTGGAGTATTTTGCAATGTAGCTCCATATTACAAAGAGGTTTTATAAGACTGCAAAATTATCTCAGCAGGCAAAAATCCCTATCAGTTCCTGAGGTAATATGATAGGTAGATACTTCCAGCAGGGGGCACAGCTGCCCCATATCTTAAAATATAGTGGTGCTTTCAAGTAATTTAATACTCATGGCAGTTGCATGCCATAATAGTTGTTCTTATTACAAAGAAGTTGAAAAAATGGTTGTGGCAGATTTCATAAATCAAATATTGTTTCACATGTTAGCTGTAGTGTAATTGATAGAATGGTAGGAACAACTTTATGGAGAACAGAAAGTGCATGTACGTGTGCATGTGAGAGAGTGAGCAAGTGTAGTCTTGTGTTTTGAGTTCATGGAATAAGATTGCTGCAACTCACCAGTACAAAGACATACCAGAAGACTGACAGAATATTTCTGTTGCATTTTTATAAAGCAGACTTTGTGGAGGCAGTCATCATGACAGTCTCCATAGCCGTATCCCCAAGAAGAGTAAAAAAAAAATGCAGGTGGCTTTGTATGTTTCCATATCTGTACATTTGTGTGTGTGGTACTTACTTACTAGGATGAGCTGGCTAGAATATTATATATAAAGGTAGTAAAAGTTTTAGGATATTGGACTTTGGCTGGAGAGACCTAGGTTTCAACCCCTGCTCTTTATTATCTGTTATTCTTTTCTAGCATTTTATTACATTTCAAATTGTCCAACAGCCAAAGTTCTCATGGTGGTTCACAAAAATTAAAACCTTAAAAGTACAGTATAATAACATATTATAAAATGTATCCATACAAAAAGTAAAGCAATATTAACATGTAAGCAATTACCAGATTTGTTAAAAACACTGTCCTATCCCGTCAAATGCCTAGAAATAGAGGCAGGTCTTAACTTGGTGTCACAAGATCACAGTGTTGGTGCCAGTCAGACCTCACTGGGGAAAGCATTCCATAAGCAGGGGCTACCACCAAGAACTTCCTCTCCCTTCTTGACATCCTTTGAACCTCCCTGAGAGGGGCACATGGAGAGGGGCCTCAGATGATGTTCATTGTACATGAGTAGATTTAGACTTGGAGAGGTACTTTGTCAGATATTGTGGTGCTGAGTGGTATAATATTTCATTCTTTTTGCTTGAACTGTTCTGTTTCATTTGCAACTTTTGGCAACTCCCCTTTGCCTTAGTATTTATGATTTCAAAAGCCTCATTCAATAATTGTCCCCTGAAAGGGAGCAATTTATCAAACATTAAAAGGTTGTGTTATCCATTTGTGTCCATGTTGTCAAGGTTTCATTCCGCAGTCCTCACCCCGGCTAAGATTATCACACTTCTGGGATGCATAATGGGAGGAGAGTGCCACTAGTGCCACCAAAGATCAGGCACCACTAATCCTTTGTTCTGTATTTAAATCCTAAATCTGGAGAGAATCCAGTATGCCTGCTTATTTTATGGGTAAACATCCTGAACATGTATTGTTAGATTTCACTGTTATATTGTGCCCTTGAGAATGATCATCTTATTGAGAAGAAAAATTCTTTAGCAAGAGAATTACCTAACAAGTCTGTGTAATGAATTCATTGCAGCTGTACGAGTGAGAAGAGAACCAAAGGCTCACTCTGCCAAGATTTCAGTGTGTTTCCATTTCTACAGGCACAATGTAATCCAGGGACACAAGCAGGGCTGAGAGTTAATGGGGTGTGGTCTGACAGTATAACAGCTGTAGAGGCATTTTGGAGAGTAATCATAGCAATGAGGAAATTGTATGTACACATGCCCCTCCTTTCTCCTTTTCATGATTAACATTTGTGGCAACTTTACCAACTGCTTTATTTCAAAGTCCACGTTTAAGCAATTCCTTTATCAGGCTCTACCAAATCCCACAACATAGTGAGTAAACTTTTTAATCCTTCTGAAACCTTCAGCGTCGGGTGGTGGGTGGTATAGAAATTAATTAATTAATCTGCCAGTGGAGATGGGGTCCAACTTTCTCACAATATTGCATTAACAACCAGACAGTTCAAGTTCAGAATGAGAGATAAACAGGAGGAGTTGGCAGGTGACTTTGAAAAGTCAAGATTAGCAAGTGAGATTAGTCAGGCAGTGACTGAGAACCAAATCATCTTGGGCATTGGGAGAGACACTAAAGAACAGCCAACTTAATAAATATTGTATGTGTTCTGACTGATCCACCAACCAGCTGTTCCCCCATCTCTCCCCCACTCTTCAGGCCCCCCTATTCCCTGAGACATAATTGAAATCAGACCAATTAATAACCCTACAATGGCCTCTATGTGTTCAATTGAAAGTCACATGTCTCTCACTTTAAAACAAAAACTAGAAATGATTAAACTTAGTGAGGAAGGTGTGTCAAAAGCCGAAACAGGCTGAAGCTAGGCCTCTTGTGCCTAACAGCCAAGTTATGAATGCAAAGGAAAAAGTCCTTGAAGAAAATTAAAAGTGAACACATGGATGATAAGAAAGCAAAACAGCCTTATTGCTGATATGGAAACAGTAAGAAAACTAGAATTCGAAGTGGAACCTGAAGATGTGACTGAATTGGTGCAAGCTCATGATAAAACTTTAATGGCTGAGGCATTAGTTCTTATGGATGCGCAAAGAAAGTGGTTTCTTGAGATGGAATCTACCCCTGGTGAAGATGCTGTGAAGATTGTTGAAATTGCAACAAAGGATTTAGAATATTACATAAACTTAGTTGATAAAGCAATGGCAGGCTTTGAAAGGATTGATTCCAATTTTGGAAGTTCTACTGTGGGTGCAGTGCTATCAAACAGCATAACACCCTACAGTGAAAACTTTTTGAAAGGAAGAATCAACCAATGCGGCAAACTTCATTGTTGTCTTATGTTAAGAAATTGCCACAGCCAGCCCAGCCTTCAGCAGCCGCCACCCTGATCTGTCAGTAGTCATCAGCATCGAGGCAAGACCCTCCATGAGAAAAAAGATTATGACTTGCTGAAGGCTCAGATGATGGTTATCATTTTTAGCAATAAACTATTTTTAAATTATGTACATTGTTTGTTTAGATTCAATGTTATTGTACACTTAATAGACTACCATTCAGTGTAAGTTTACTACATTTCTGTTGTTAACCAAGCTGAACACTATTTTCAGTGGAAAGATAGGATACCAGATGTTATCTTAGCAAATAGGTAACAATGCTTCTCTCCATAAAACCATAGTACTTGGTGTGTTGTCACACTCTTAGTGTGCTTCCACTTCCTCTCTCTGCTTTAGCTCCATCTTGGGGTGACAGTCTTGTTCCTTATCGCTTCTTCCACTACTGCTATTCCTGCTATTCGCTTCCATCAGCTTGATTACTGCATTATCCATTTCATTCAGCCGTAGGCAGAGGCATGGGGAGTTGCTCACCTTCAGTGACTCCCCCCACATTTTCTCACACATGTCAGTCCCATTAACATACATCTAGAAATCAGAGAGACAAAGATGGTAAAGTTTACAACACTTGGCTTGCCAAGCTTAGAAGGAGCCAGGCCCATTCTTGCTGTCAGATAAGCTTTACAAGCTGGGCCATGTTTTCTTTCTATCCTGGATCTTTGTACCAGGTTGCTTTGAAAAACAAGGTCTAGGGCAGGATAAGATTTGGCAGGATTATGACGACAGATGACAGATTGAAGATTTCACAGCGATAACAGCTCACTCAGGATACAGCTAGCCTTTTCAGTCATCAGCAGAAAGCTGCTGATTGCCTTACTATAAGGACTAAAAGTATAAGAAACAAAGAAGAAAATCCTCTGTCTTCACTGTGTTATCTCACTCTATCCCATTTGGACTAAACCACTTTTATTTTCACCTGCATGAGCAGCTCAAACAGAAATCTCAGTTTCCTTTCTCAGGAGCCCAGAAAGCTGCCTTGTACTAACTCAATCTGTAGGTCAGTCTAGCCCAGCATTTTCCATTCTGACTGACAATGGCTTTCCAAGGCAACTTGACAGAAGTTCTTCGCCACCACCCATCACCCGATCCCTTTTACTAGATATACCAGGGATTGAACCAAAGACCTTATGCACACATAGCATGTGTTCTGCAACTGAGCTATGACTTTCTTTTTGTCTTGCCAAATGTAGTCACGCAATCCAAGAAGTATTTGGGGAGCACCTGAAAATGGCTTGATTAACAGACAGCAAAATGGCAAAGCCAATGAATTATGGACCATTGATAACTTCCTGAACAGAATTCCAGATTTTTATCAGAGTTCCATGATAGCATAGTGGTTAGCATCATACTGGGACCAGTGTGATGCATGCAATGGTACCATCAAGGCAGGACATCAAGGCAGATGTTCAGGACCTCTACTTGGCAGAATGAACAAGAGCCCACAAAAACAGCAGAGATGGCTCACTGCTTATTGAAGTGAGTGAAGCTGTGCACATCATCATCTAATGCAAAATTATTGCATCCAGAGTCTAGAATTACTTAACTGTATTGAACCCAAGTTCAGATGTGACTCAGTCTTGCAACACACTGTGCAACTGCCTCTCAGCCAAACCTACTTTGCAAAGTTGTTGTAAGGATAAAAATAGGGAAGAACCATGCGCAATGCCTGCAGCTCCTTAGAGGAAAGGCGGGATTTAAATGTCACCACTATGAAAGAAACCCAAATTCTTTAATCCAGACCACTGATTCCCAACAGAGCACATGACTAGGCTCTGAAAAATATACAGAAAGAATGCTCATGTATAGAAACGGCTTCCTTCATGCATCTTTGTATGATTCACTACTCTTTTTTGCCTCCCTGGGATGGATAATTATTTTGTGTCCCTGTATCAAATGTTCCTGAATCAGTCAATCATTTCCAGTGCAGAGAAAAAGCAGAATTACTTACCTTCAGCAAAAGTTTGCTGCTTTGTCTGAACAAATCACTGATCTGAAGCCTTTTGACTGAAAAAAGTTTGCTTAGAACAGTGACATGGACAAACATGTGAGGTAGGATTCTCTTACACACCTTGAAATAACTATGCGGTTTCAATTCAGGAAAAAGGTGTGACTCGGTTTCAGAAGTGTTCAAAACACAGTTTTAGATTAATATATTCTCAATATTATCAAAATATATTATCTCAGTTCCTTACCTGGTTTAGCATTTGGCTAATTGGCTTCACATTTAAAAATGTAATTAAACTACTTTGCATATACTGTTAATTATTATTTATTAAGGTGCCATGTACAAGAGTTACTAAGGAAGATTTGTTTGATCAGAACAGGATTCAGCAATATAGCACCTGCTAATGTGATGTGATGGCTGTGATCAGCATTCCTTCCTTTTATTAAAGGCAATGCAGCAGTCTCACTCCACTGACCTTAACGTGATAGGGAAAAGGATGCCCTGCTTTAAAAAGAAATGTTTTTAAAGTGCAGCAGGGAAGACCACTGGTCATGAGCAACAAGGTCCTTGGGAGTGAGTGGGCTTATCCCCTCTCATTGGACCCTATTCACATAGCTTTTCAGTGGTTCAGTTAAAATTAATGGAGTGAGATCACTACATAGATTTTGACAGACAGGGAAAAGGATCTTCTACAGTTAGTGGGGAAGTCCAACCCTCACCAAGGACTCTTGGGGCAACAGGTGAAGCAGTATGGTGTAATGGTCAGAGTGTTTGGCTGGGACTCAGATTCTTGTCCCTGAGCTATGAAGTGCCCTTATATGATTTTGTGCCAGTCACTGTGTCTCCATCTTACCTCACCTCACCTTGCAGGAATATTGGGAGGATAAAATGGAGAGGAGGAGATTAAGTAAACTGCCCTGGCTTCCTTGCAGAAAAAGGCATGATATTCATATAATGTAATGCAATAGAAATAAAATATTAAAGTTAATAGAGCAATATCACTCGACAGATTTCAACAGATGTAGACAATAATTCTAAGCAATAAAAATGGCTGGGAGGGGACAAGAAAAGTGAGAATTCAGAATAACCCAGGAGGTTAGAATCTATAAAAGAAGGGTGCTTTCAACACACCAACACACCTTTATCATTGAAGGAGAAAGAAGATACTGACTTCTATCAAACTTGGGACTTTTTTTTATTATTGGCTAGAGAAACGGGACTTGGCATAGATTTAAATATGTTTTTTAAGTTATCATAAATGGAAAAAGAAGGGTGTGGGGGCTGACCCAGCGGGCTCGATGTTTTTGATGTTGGATGTTGTTTGTAGTTTTCTTTTTGTTTTTTTAGGATAATCTCAAATAAAACTTAAAAAAAAATTTGTACTGGTAACGGAGACACTTTTTCAAAATGTCAAATGTGCCAGAGGACCGAGAAAAGTTGCCTTTCAATGAATTTGCACACCAGCATGAGTTGAAGGCAGAATTATATGCAGTCTTCTGACTCTTTAACATAGGTATATTCTCTATGATTCATGGGTAGTTTATGATACACTACCTCACTGTAGGAGATGCACTCATTCTTACAGTGGTTTTCTCCATTTGCATCAATTTTCCAGTCCATCAACCAGTTGCTGACACAAGTGAGATCATTTTTACAAGCTTCGTACCTACAAGGTGAAGAAACAAAGCACCAATGACTGCTTAGCTTGTACTTTTGTTTCCTTCCTCTCAATACAACACTGAGGAAGGCAGGCAGGTCTTGCTGATAATATTTCCATTTTGTGGGCTCCAAGATGGTTACTTTATTTGGCATAATGGAGACACCTCCTACAAATCCACACTGTGACTCAGTAACAATTCCTCTGGCCTTATTTTCTGCCAGTATATACATAAAGAAAAACAGGTATGCACAAATTAGACTTCAAAACATGAGTTCTTGCAAGGAATGTGCCTAGGATACATTCAAACAAAAAGAAAGGTAGTGTGTTGCTTTGACCATTATGTATATAATGCATCATTACTATGAAAATAGGATATTCACATCAGAAAGAAAAATGGGTCTAACACCATTTAATTGTAGCAAGTATGTGCATTGGTCAATGAAAAGGGATGAATATATTCCTTCAAGCCATGATTTGTTGGTGTTTCAAAGTAAATTTATTCTATAATAGACATATTGAGTTGTGTCCAGACTTAGTCATACCTAGAATATGCCATTTCAAAAGGTCTCTAGAATATGTCATTTCAAAAGGTCTTGAGTTAAGCCCCATGTATTTAAATTGTACTACGACTCTAAATAAGATTAAATCTGAATCCTACCCATTGCCTCAGATATGAATTAAAAAATTAGTCCAGGCCATCCTTACTCCTGCAATTTTGTTTTTTTCTCTTTATCGTTTGCCTAATTAATGTGTGTCTTGTCCATCTTTGCTCTAGCAAACAGAAGCAACCTTTTATCAGTCTGACCTAGTTTCTTTTGTCAACAGGTTAGGATCAAAGTATCATGTATCTCAGTCATATTGAAAGAATCAAGTCTTAGACTAGATGGTATCAGTAGGTCGGTTAGTATAACAGTTTAGAAAAAAATGACTGTAAAGAGATCAGTTGCCATAAATATCTACTTTAGGAGACCTATAGATGCAGTCTTTCCTAATCTGCCACCCTCCAAATGTTTTGAACTGTAACTCTCAGCATTCCTAGCCATTGGTTATATTGGTTGGGACTGACGGGAACTGAAAATAGCTGGAAGGTACTAGCCTGGAGGAGGCTGGATCAAAGAAAAGATTCCACTATTAATGGAGGTCATCATGAGGTGTTTTGCACTTTAGAAAAATTATTGAGAATAATCTGTTGTTAAACATGCTCTAGACCAGGGGTCTCAAACTCAACTTACCTGGGGGCCGCTGGAAGTAGAGTCTGGGTGAGGCTGGGCCGCATCAAGTATTCCACAAAAAAAGGATTTCAAGTATTCCAAAAAAGTACAACTGATCCAGTCTTCTCAATCTTTACTAATAATAATTCAGAACATGAACAGTTCTTCAGAACATAGGCTTCTCTTACTTCCTCCTACTCCTTGCTGCCAGAGACCTGACAGTGCTTCCTCTTACACAGCTGAGCCACATTTGGCTTGAGGGAGGAAGCAACTGAGACCCTCAGTATGGCTTGAAGATGCTCATCAGTAAGTTTGGACCTGTACTTTGACTTATTAAAGTTCATGGTGGAGAAGAGCTTTTCACACAGATAGGTGCTCCCAAAAAGGCACATGGTCCGCTTGAACATCCTGGAAAGCTCAGGGAAGGTAAGGGGCAATTTTCTCAAAAATTGTCCAAGCTTGTCTGCTTTTCCACTCACCTCCCTGAACTTGGCTTTGAGTTCAGAATTGCACTGCAGGTCAATTAGCTCCATTTGAAGCACAGAGGGGGCATCTTCCACATCAAAGGAGAAGGGGTCAGCAAAATTTTGAAAAGTGGCTCTGTGTGTCTTGAAATCTGCAAACCTGTGATCAAATTCCGGCGCACAGCTTACAGAGAACATTGCGCCCAGGGTAACAACTCACACAGGTGCGTGTGAGAAAAACACGCGGGCCGCACTATCACTAAACTTTGATATCAAGTGGGGGTCACAAAATATTGTCCCATGGGCCTCAATTGGCCTGCGGGCCACGAGTTTGAGACCCCTGCTCTAGACTATACAGTATAGAGGCTTTTCTATAGTTTGATTCCTGCTTGGTCATGAAAAATTACAGTATAAGTAGAATGCTGGTTCCACAAAATGGAAGCAAGTTATAAACTGTCGGGGGTGCTCCTCCCTTTTTCTCTCTCTAAACACCCACACACAGAGGGTGGGGTGGGGACACAGCGAGGAAGCAGCAAAACAAACATACAAAGAACTGAGTCAGGGAAACAGAGGGAATGGAGAAATCACTTCATTGATTTGTTTAGGGTGGAAAATGCTGTAGTACCCAAAATAAGCTGATAGGGAAGAAGGCCCAACTCCCATTAAGAACCCAGTGGAAGAATTATTGGTAGAAGTGGGCTTCATTCTGCACAGTCATTTTCAGCAGCTGGCTTGCTTGCTTGCTTCCTTCTCATTTCTCTACTGTTCACACCATTGCATTGCACAAGGATTGGGTAATTTAAGGGTTAGAAAAAATATGACCCCAGTTGTGCATTTTTGAGGCTCCAGGGGAAAAAACGGTCATGAACAAATAAGAGCAGCGATCAAACAAGGTGGGTTAACTGCAAAGGACACTGGAGTATGCACCAGAGCCGGGAGGACTGAGGGGGATGGAGCAATGATAATGCCAATCATCTGTTGAGTCTTCTGTGGGTTGTTCTACAGAGTGAGTTAGTGTGACATGTGAACCCATCTAGAGAGATGGGTTGCTTCAACACAGATCATTCATTTAAAATAAAACTGTATGTTAGTGTTCCGAATTATTAAATGTGTCAAGTTCACAACTTCCTCTGTCATTCCCCAAGGATGCTTTGGAAGGTGGTCTGGAAAGGGAAGCTGCCCCAAGGCCTCTTTAAACTCCATCATGCATGTGCTGAAAGATGAGCTTTAGGAGCAAGGTATTCCAAGTAAAAGAAAACAGCTTGAGGCAAGGTTCCTTAAACCCCTTAAAATCAAGTCCCTGTTCCCTTTGTGAAAATACTTCACAAAGAATAGATGCAGGAGCTTTTGAAGCAAGTGTGCCTGCCAGATAAGAGGAAAGGATGTGATATCTATACAAGCCATGTAGCACCATAAATAGATTCTTGTGTGCATTCCCTTTCAGCTTCTACTTGAAGAAACAATGCAAATAAAACAGTTGCCCATAAGCAGACCATTTTTTTATGGAAATAATATTTAATGCCCAGGCTTCGGGTTGGCAACCAGAGCCTTAATTAATGCAGCCCCTTGAGGAGTACTACTTTCCCCCCCCATCCCACCCATATTGTTGCCAACCTAGAAGGGAAAGTAGTGTGGAGAAGAGGCATGTGGGGCTACAGAATTTGATGGCAAACTGTTTTAGGGGGTAGGGGTCCTGTTCACTATTCCTCACTTTCTTTTCAAAATGCTCCTCAAGAAGTATTAATAGGGTGGCATGTCCAGTCAGAGTCATATTTTGTGCATGCAGATGAACAGGGTCACTCAGGGAATTGTCAGCATATCCACACTGTATATTGGGAGGGATTACACTTGTTTTACCATTTGGTATGAAGGTAAAATGTGACTAAAATAATCCCCCACAAATAGATATCAAGCAAGCCATGCCCACTGGGATTTTTGGGTTTATTCTTTGAATATCACCACCTGCTTCTTTCCAAGAAACAGAAAACAACAATCAGCATGTGGAGCTTGTGTGATTTTCTGAGTTGTGGCCACACAATATGGACATTTGTCATTGTATCTATGACATTGTAGTGTTAGGAAATAAAGGAATTTCTACCTATGGCACTAGGATGTTCATTATACTCTTTAGAATCCTTTTTATCATGACTCATCATCTTAAAATGAAAGATGCACAAAATACCAAGTAAGTCTTTGTGCAGCTGGGATTTAGGTGTAGCGCTATGTTATTTCTAGGAGTTACTTGTTCCCGCTGGGAGCTAGGAGTGTCAAACTATGCATTTTTACTGACATTATAATACCTGACTTACTGGCATGCCACATGATGTACATGCTAAACTGTCCTCTTCATGTCCTTTCTGCCATTGTATCCCGAATTTCTACAGACCAGATATATTGCAACATTTTTATATATTGAGTTTTTTCCAAGGTACATACTTCAGTGTGTGCTAAACTTGCAATATTGTGGGGAGGGGGTGGCCTTGCTGGGCTCAGGGTAGTGGTACTGCAAGAGGAAGTGTCACATCAGATTTTGACAAAGCAGCTACTTTAGGAAGGAAATAAGCTCATCAGCCTCCAATTGCTTTTCCACATACTCCTCCCTCCCTCCTCCACCTTCTCTCTGCTTATTTCTCTAACTTGCCCAGTGAACTGGAAAGTAAATGTAATGCTGCTTTACCATCTGCCCTAAACCCTGCCCTCTCCTCTCCAGACCCACTAGCTAAAGCGCCCATATTCATGTCTACTCAGAAGTGAATCACATTATTTTCAATGGCACTTACTCCAGAGTAAATCACATTCCCCCCCCCCCATGCATTATCTTCAATGTATTTAGTCAGAGGCACATTGTGTTCCATTGAACTTGATCGCAGGAAAGTCAGCATGGGGGAAGGGTTGCACTTGTTTTCAGGAACTACTTCTGAGTAGAGGAGAAAGGAGGTACTGATCCTGCTGGCTTCATCCCATGAAAGATGGGAGGACAGCAGTAAGCAACCAGCCTGCCTGTTTCTTTCCCCTTCTTCATAACTGTTTGTGAGAGGGCAGGAGGAGCTGTCAAGTCCCCCCCACCTTTTTTTAAAAAATTCTGCTAGTTTGCAGTTGCTTGTAACTTCTTGAATGGGCGGAAAACAACAACACTTTTTAAAAGGGCCATTTCCTTGCATACTTCATCTTTCTGATTCCTGCAGTTCTTTTATGTGACAGAAGATCATGGTTTCAGCCTAGTGGAAACAGCACTGTATTCTTTAGCTTTTGCCCCAGTAATAGCAAATATCTTTTGCATAAATAGAGCAACATCCCTCCCTGGTAAACTGAAGTAGCTTTAGTGTAGTCCTTACTAAAGGACCCTTGCAGTTCTTTAGTAAGGTGATCAGTGACTGGAAGTGAAATGTCAATGTTTATTTTGGTTTCATCACCTTTTGTATGCTTTGCAACCTGTGTACAGATAACCTCCCGTAAACTCAGACTGTTGGCCAGTGCACAAAAAGCTCTTTGGACTCTCACATGCACAAAGAGGAAAATCTATTCTTATATGGCATGCTATACCATACCTAATGATTCATACCTCTAGTTCATTGCCTGGGTGTGCAGGGGAAAACAACTTGTATAGAAAAGATCTCCTATGCATGATTCATCCCTAGTCTCAACAGTTATTTATAAGTATTGCTTTTTCTATAACAACTAATCAATGAGGTCTGTAAACATAGGCAGTTTGAGAACTGTCCCCATGATGAAGTGTCTTGTGGCAGAATCAAATGGACAGTAAACACATCATGGCCCACTCTTTATAGCATTGTACCACTTCAAGGTGCAGGCAGGGAATTGCATGTTTGAAATCTTCCCAGTATTAAAAAAAATAAAAAAACACAAAAAGTCCACAAAAACTAGCATATTGGGGTGAACTTTTAAATACCAATCCTACACATATCTTCTCAAAAGTGAGTAAGTACTATTCCATTCAGTGGGACTTCTTTCCAGCTAGGTGTGCACAGGATTGTAGTTTAGCCTATAGCAGTGGTGGTGAAACTATGGCATGCGTACTGCAGTGGGCACACAGAGCCCTCTCTGTTGGCACGCAAGCCAAGTCACCCCAGCATCGCCCCAGCAGCTGAGCATTGGATAACAGTGCACATAGGGGCCATGCGCATGCTCGGAAAGGAGTAGTAGTGCCAGGCGATGACATCATGAGCCGCGACCCATTAACTGCGACTTGTCCAAGCTTTTCCATAGCTGGTCAGTGCGCTGCCAATATATATATATGCTTGGACTGGCTGTGGGTTGTTTTTTCTAAGCTAAAACCTCAATATTCAGGTTTTATTGCAGTGTTAGCACTTTGTAATAAATAAGTGGGTTTTGGGTTGCAGTTTGGGCAAAAAAAGGTTTACTTAAAGGTTTGCCATCACTGGCCTATACTAGTAGTATTCTTCCTGACATGTTAACTTCCTTGTGGAAGGTGGATCATTAATAAGGGGAAGTAGGTCTCCCCCACTCGCTCTCTGAATGGTAAAGAATGTGCTATGCACTATTTTTTAGACATGTGAATCAACCTTTGGGTAAGATAAACTGGACATCAGAAGCCGAATGAAATTCTAGTGATAAGTGACTTTGATTGACTCAATGTTTTGCCAAAAGCAGTCCACCATTTTTGTCACAAAGATTAATATTAAAATAAGGAAGGATTTTTTTAGCTAGGCAGAATTCATAGTTTGCTGTCCAATACATGCTTACCTGGGAGTAAGCCCTATGGATCATAACAGGACCTGCTTCTGAGTATACATGCATAGGATCATACTGTTAGGCAGAATGTGTAACCTACCCCAACCAATTTTGATTCAATCAATATACATTTATTTTGTATTTGTGATAAGTATTTAAAACAGAGTTGCCCATTTTAGTTATTATTTTTGGTGTGAAGGAAGAGAATGGAGTAGCCCTTGCACTCTGGAGTAGCTGTTGCACACTTTCATGATCACACTGTGTGATTATGAAATATTACAATTGTAATAGGATAACACCTGAAAAGGGGTGTTGCAGGTTCCATTGGCAACAGTGTTGTAGCTTATCAAAGCTGAACTGGTCACAGTTTGCTGCTCTCTGCTGCATTCTGTCCACTAGTTACTAGTGGACTAAACACACAATAGAAAGGCAAACTTGCAAAATGAATCCTATTTCTTCAGTTCTAAATTAAAGTTTTCCCCAGGTCATTAAGAATAAAGAGGTTGAAGTGTGAGTTTAGTTGCAAACAGAATTTTCTTTTTGAACAAGGCAGCACGAAGTGGATGCATTGTATTTGTGTTATTAGAACGAACAAGGAAATGCCCAACTTACCAGTCATCACAGAAACTTTGGCATATAGGGACAGACTGAATAGCACCTGCATATTGGCTATGTGCCCAGCGAGCAGTATGTGGTGAACACCTGTAAAAGCATTCCATCTTCTTCATATAACTCTCGCACCTGTTATATGAGAAACAGACACTGGTTACATGAAAAAGTACTACCATTTCATGTGGCTTCCTGTATGTCATCAGTCTGCATATGTTTCCTGGCATGCAGCATTTTAAGTAGGTTATCAAATAAAAACCCTCTTCTTTAACCCCTGTGTTGTCACAACATAACACATGCATTTACATTTCTCAGTACCGAGGAAAATTGTGTGTCAAATCTATTTCTTCTTCCTGTCCTATTTCCTGCATTGACAATCTAACTTTGAGCCTTTTATTATCAGGGTGTGGATGGAGGGTTCCTTGCTCCTTCTTTTTTTCTTAATGGATTTTCTCCAGTAAGAAAAAAAGACAAAAGATACAGTGGCAAAACATGGGAAGATGACAAGTGGCTGAGGTAAAATTCTGTAGATGAGGCACAGCAATGGTATAATAAGATCCTCATCTGGAAGTAGCCTCAGATTAATAGGACCTGCAACAAATGCTTACGTTTTCCAAAAGAGGTTTTTCTCATACAGTTGCCCTGCCTCCTTCAGAGAACTTTTCCTGGAATCCAGATATTGCCATCTTCCGCTTGGAAACCCTCCTGTGTATTTCTACCCTGCCTTCCTATTTTGTTCATGTCCACAAACAATCTGTAAAGGAAGAAAAGATGGAATAGCTGTGCACTTGGAGCTCTCCTTTGAAAGCACCCCTACAGTCCAGAGTCCTCCTGTTCAGAGTTCCAGCCAGTCATATGATTTTTAAAGATATTCCACTCCATCCTTGCACCATCAATCAGAATTTCTGAGCAGTGATCATGCCCAGTTCTCATTGGGTTCTTCCCCCTTGGGTTTTTCTCCTAATGATTTTCATGTATAACTGCAATCCTAAGTCTGCCGATACTTCTCTCGTGTGTTGATGGTGCCATTTCCAGCACTTGGAGAATGAGTTTGCTATTACTGTATTCAAGTGGGACCTGTGACAAAATGTTGCATTCCATCTCTGTCCCCAAAGAGGAGTTATTTTTAGAATTAGCTAGTCTGGAACAAGAGTGTTGTAGTCATGCTCAGGTTTGGCTTGGGTATCCTGTAACATCCCACCCTAGTTTCTTCTCCCCTTCCTATTCACCACTGTGTAGTCACTGAGCATGTTAAATCCTCATTGGGTTTTCCCACCCTCAAACATTATAATTCCGCAAAACTTGTGGATTCCCTGAGCCTGCTGATACTTGTCTGTTGTGTGTAGATGGAGCTGTTTCCACTATATAATTGAATATAAAGGTATTTCTTTGGCATGACCAGAAAGAAGGTACCAGGTGAGCTTTTTGGAAGATTGCATTCTACAGCTGGGGAACTACCTCTAAAAAGGCCTTCTCCCTGCCATTCAGCTACCTTTCTGCAACTGACAGGGTCACCTGGAGCAGGAACAATTTTTGTACAGTTTTTGGCTATAATTTAAATGTATATGTAACCTCACTTTTTGCTGCCAGCATTGATGTGGATTGGTGAATACCATACCAGTGATGAGGGAGAAAGAAAGTGACCCCAAATCAATGTGCAGTGATTGCAGTTCGGCTGGATCCCTCTCTAGAATTTCTCTTCCTTTTCTTTCACCTGCACTTTCAGCATAGCCTCCCAGGGTCAAAAAAGGCTGAATTCTAGACATTCCACCAAATCATAATTACACATACTATTTGGCCAGTTTGACACAACGTTGTAGCTTGAGACAACACTGTAACATGAAGCATAATCCCATTAAAGTCAATAAATGAAAGTGCTCCATCAGTATTCCAAGGTCTTTGTTAGTGTCGCTGAATAGTGGCAGCATCACCTGATTCTTGGGGAGAGGCTTTAAATCAGAGGACCTCAGCATCTTTCTGCGACCAAGAAATGAATGAACTGCTGTGTACGGAATCATGATCATATATTGTAAACCATCAAGAGTTTACTGGATTGAAAGATGTAGTATAACACATTAACATTCTGTAATTAGAACTGACTGAGAGACTTTGGTTTATGAGTTGAAAATTATTTCTGTTGTCTCTAGTTTTAGCACCATTCTACTACTTAAACATCACCTGAAAATGTAAATCACATGTTCTACAAAGGAAAATAATTTTAAGATCTCTGTCTACCTGCATCTATATAATCTATGTTTCTGTAGTGAGTTTTTTTAAACTGCATAGCCTAATTAATAACTGTAAGTAGCCTTTTGTTCTGTTGTACCGGACTGTGTTAAGGAGTCAGCAAAAAGAAAGTGCACAGACAGTAATGTTTGTGTATTAGCTTTCTGTGGGATGTCAGAAAAAAACTGCACTAGGACACACACAAATGCTTGGGTGGAATGCTTTTTGCATATTTGTATTAAAGACATATGAACTATACCAGGAGAAGAGAAACAGCCTTATACTCTGCTTTCTATTGAGTTATGCTGGTGGATGTTTGTAAGAAGCCTTGGACTAAATTGGAAAAAAAATAGAATGCCCTGGTAGGAGAAAGCAATGAGTAACTTACAAGTTACTGAGATTTCCACATCTGTTCCAGTAGGTGGTGTTTACTTTAATTACTGGTGAATGAGCTAGTTCTTCTGTAATTTCTGCATAGCAACAAGAGGCTGTGGGGAATTAAAAACAAAGAACACTTCAAGGCTTACTTTTAAACACTGTTAGAGCTCTAAAGACTCAGAACTACAAGAGCTCCCAATAGTCATGAAGTTCAAAATGAGAAGTACAATCTTAGTTCACTGTTATTTTTCTTGCAGTTTTGTACACTTGCAGTTTTGTGCAAAATTAAACACTGTGCATTGAACATTTTCAGAAGGAATTCTTTATGAAACTTTTCTATTTAAATTTTGATATTGAGGTTATAATTTCACCTTAAGTAATTAACTGGACTGGCGTCTCTTTGTCTACAGAACATGAGATTGAGTATGCGGTTTTATGCACACTTACCTGAAATTAAGTCCCATTGAGCGGAATAAGACTTAATTTTGAGTGGACACACAAAAGATTGCACTGTGAGTGGCATATACATAAATGTCACAGAATGGAGGATTTCTGAGCATGTACATTCATATGGCTAGTTGCTTACTGTTTGCCAGAAATATACCATTATTTCTTGTTACATTATTTTCTAACTTCATCTCCAAAGCACCATTTGTAAGTTTTTTTTAAATGTACATGGCATTTCTTGTCAGGCAGAAAGTGCAATGCAGGTAGTTTGCATACCAGCAGGATTTCACATCCATTTCGCTATGGAAGTGTGCTGTTAAAATGAGTATGTTATCCCCTTGGATGATTCAGGGTGCAATCCTATGCATAGTTAGAAAAAGGCTCTACAGCATAGATTGGCTGTGGGGAAATTGCACTCTAACACAATAGGTTGGAGAAGACTGCTTGAATGCATATTTTGCACTTGAGAAAATTGTTCAAATGATATGTAATGAAGAAAAAAGCTAGAAATATAGGTCCCACATTTTCCAGAAATAATTTGCAATATTTTATTGTTTGAAAAAACAGTTACTATTCTCATTAAAAACATAGGTAATGCGTAAACTGCAGCTGTGATCTATCGATCACAAGCACCTACAGGAAATTGTCCATGAAATCACTAGAGATAAGCAATGCAACTTCCACATGCCCATGCCTGGACTGTGTCATTATATTTTCTGTTTTAGAGGCTAGGCACCCCTCTGTAGTATCATTCATTTATATACATAATAAGCCTCTAGATCATGGGTCCGCAAACTACGGCCGGATCCGGCCCGCCATGCCCATTTGGACCCGCCATATGCGTGCCTGCCGCCACCCACCTCGCCCCACGTGCGGGGAGGCAGGGGTTTGCTTGCTCAGAGAAAACGCTCTCCAAGAGAGCAAGCTGCTGCCTCATCGCCCACCTCGTGGTGGGTGCCCGCCCCCCGCCTCACCTCACTGCACGCCCTGCCCCCCGCCTCAGCGCACATGCCCACACACACCGCCCCCAACCCCTAGCCAGTCTGGGCGCCCCACCAGCACCACCTTTCCAGCCTGCGCCCAGCACTAGCACCTTTCAACTGGCCCCCTGGTGGAAAAGTTTGAGGACCCCTGCTCTAGATTAAAAAATTGTGATTGCACTGAAAGCTAATTCCTCTCATATCAATACAGATTAAAAGAAAAAAATAGAAAAGGATATGGCTTCACTTCTCCAATGCACATATCATCCCTATGTTTAAAAAAGTATATGGAGACCAGTTATGTAGGAATGTGAGCTCAAGTTGAATTGGGTGGCACAGTTTCATGTCTAAATATAATTCCCTTCCCTTTTTTATTCTAGATTGGACTGTACCCCACTTACAAGTAAAGCACTGATGTGTAAACAGCCTCAGGATATCATCTGCCCTTAATTGCAAAAAACTAAAATCATGCCTATAGCAAGTGATAAAATTCATGTGTGGGCTGAAACTCACAGGTTTCATAAGGATAAAACCAAAACATGGATGTTTTGCAGCTGGCGTCAAAAAGAGAAGGTATTAGGCATTGGTTTTTATATAAAGAAATAGTAAGAAATAAGCTTAATTGTAATTCTTTTGGTGTGTCTTATTAATATAGCTGGTAACAGCTAATGGTTGTATAGGTTTATGTATGTCCTTGTGCAGAATTATCAGCACTTACATTCTTTATATATAAAACATTCCTTCAAGTCTTTCTCTTGAGTTGGTCTGAGCTTGTGACCAACCCCTTTCAGACATTCTTGCCTGTTTTCGTTGATGGATACTGCCAAGATAGCAAAGAGCAGGAGCATCAAAAACCTCAGCATCTTCTTGGGGTTTCTGTTCTTGGAAGAGCTCTGTATGGAAAGATTATATTGCAGTCAAAGAGGATCAGGCTTCAGGATCAGGTTCCGATAGAGTGAGAAATGTTGGGAGATAAATGCAGCAAGATGTAGCAGGGTATAACACAAACAAATAGAAGCAAAAGCTGCTTCCTTGCCCCTCTTGTCATGATATGTTAACCTGGGAAACAATCAAGGCCTTTATATATAGTCTTGGACATATATATAGATAAATTGCTAGTCTTGGGCATGTCAGCAATAAAATTCAGAACAGCTGAGTACAAGTAGGCATCCACTCAGGCAGTAGGTATAGCTAATACTTTGCTTGTTTCTTGCCACTTGAGACAGAGGAGTGAGATAAGGACGAGGCCCAGAAACTATCTTGTGCAAACTGGGAATATGGCTCAGCCCCTCTAGAGAGACTGGGAGGAAACATGGGATACTGGGGCATAATCCTAGGGAAGCTGCGTCTGACAGAAGAACTGAGATCATGGATTTCTTTTCTGTTTCTGGAATAATTGGAGCCCCTACAATTGTATCATCTGGACTGCTGCTGAAAACCAATGTAAGAAAGAACAGATTGCTGAGGAGACTGGTGTCTCATGGAAAGAGGATGGTACAACAAAAGACAGACAGTTGTGCACATTCCTCAGCTGTTTCATTAGCTAAAACAAGAATCCCAAAAGCAACTTAGGAGATTTTCTCAGAAATTTTATTCCCCTTTGAATTCATATTCTAAAGCAATTTCTTTTCTATCAAATTAAGGAGTTGTAAAAAATGTGGAAGGTTATTTGTTTTAAGCATAGTACTGCCAAGCAAAACAAAAATACAATAAATCTAAGGAAGTCCTACAATTCCCTTAGCACTTACTGTTTCACTTAGCACATACTGTTACAACAGAGACATTTTCTGGGGGAAAAAATGCAATTTCTCCAACAGCTAAGTCACATAGTGAGTGCTGGAAAAATATTCTGTTGTTTACAGTGGCAGTGTCACTTTGATTTTTCTTCCCCTACTGCCGCTGCTTATTTGTTAGCTAGAGAATCTTACACAGATCGTCTGGATGTGGCCTATAAAGGAACCATATCAGCCAAATCACATAGCTTTGCCCTTATCTGTCCTCCTTGCAGTTACATCTATGTGCTTTTGCTTAATGTACAATCTGCAACAACTGCAACTGCAAGCTATTTTCCCAGGTGTGGGTTAGAAAGAGGGAATAGAGACAGTAAACATTGTTTCATCGCCTAATTGTGCCATCAAGGAAAACCAGTCTAAAATGTTGGAATTATCTTAGACATTATTTGCTGACAATGTTGGAAAAGTGGCTATTTCCAAACAAGGAAATCTAGGTGTCTAGGCTGCTGAGTTCTTAAATAAAAATCACACATTTACTAAATTAGGATGCTAAAGCCACAGTTTTCAATCCAGACAAATGAAATCTACTTGTCTAACAACAGGGTATATGATGATCCATACAGTATGGGGTCCATACTGTGAAAAATGCTTGCTTGGGCTTTGCAGGCACCTGTGTGCTACTTGTGACATCCTGAACATAACATCATGTACTGCAAGTCCCTGATTCATATCTGTTACATTATTCTTAGTGTATGCAGCCTCGTATTAAAAAGACCATTAATGCTCTGCCCCCACTCACAGAACAATGCACTGTCATTTTGTAGATTCTTTGGGAATATTCTTTCTTCTCTAAAGATGCTGAAACAACAAAAACCTTGACTGTTTTCTTTCTTAACATAAAGATTAGCTCCATAGTATTAAGGTGATCCTGCTTATACTGAATTATGGGGAAGAGTAGCATTACATCACTGATGCAAGCCCCTGTTAATGGCTTATTTGTTTCATTTTTATACCACCTGATAGCCGAGGATCTTTAATAGCAATGGTAATGCCAGGTTTTTGTGTGTCTTGAAAGGCCTGAAAGAATACAAACTGCAAGAACACAGTGTGGGAAAACAAAATCAGCATTGATACACTGAGGGCCAAAATAGATGTGAGTGTAAGGGTGTGAATATATTTAATGTGCCTTTTGTTCATTAGCAATAGCAATTGGGGGACAGGACAGAGTGATCAAGAACAGGGTGCATGAGGACTCTCCTACCAAAATTTCTGCTGCTTCATGCTGTAGAGCAAACATCCTTCTAAGAAATGAAAGGTTTGCAAAAGCAAAGGTCCACATTAATTGGTTGTAAAGCATCTCAACCCAAGCTTAAAATTCAGTTTCTCACCTTTTTTGTGGGATTGTTCTTTCCTCTTGAGACCAGCTGAGATGAAAAATGATGCTGCACTTTCTTTGCTTAAATCAGTAGAAACCCACAGTTTCTTAGCTAAGAGATGTTCTACAGCCCTTTTGTAATGCAACACACTTAGTCAGTCAGTTGCAACAGTGATGATGTGTAACCTGCTTATTAGATTAGGGAAAAGTCAATGATTTAGTTCAGCAGTCTGTGGCCAGTCAGAAGCTTCTCAAATGACCTTGCAAACTAGTGATCTGCTAAATCAAATATAGTTCAGTAGCTGATCTGTATTGCACCATGTATTTGTTTCAACAGTTCAGATAAGATGCCCCTGTTCCTGTTTAAAGTCAATGAGCATAGTTGGGCAAGTTGTAAATTAGCAGGTGTTAGTCACTTTTATTGTTTTGTAGAGTCTTTGTTGCATGAATTTTGTTTTTGGGGTTTCTTTTGTTGATTCAAGTTATGCTTTATTTGTTATAAGTTCCTTTAATTGTGGAAAAGCACCCTGTATTAGAGAGAGCGAGCGAACATGGTTTGCCAGATGCTTAGCACCCCTAGCCAGACAGGAATGTTTCAGAGAAGGAACATTGCACAGTTCCATATTTGAACTCTGGCATCTCTAGGCAGGGCAAAGAGAATCCCTTCTTATCTAGTAAAAAGTCATTTAAAATTAAAGTCATAAAAAGGTTTTTTCCATACAGATGTAAAGCCATTTATTTGCAGACTGATCAAATTGACTAGAGCTACTGCAACCCAATCATGAAGTAACACTACTTACTAGTGTTTGCAAGAGCAATGAGTTTTTCTCCGCAGTTAACCAACTTGAGTCAGATATTGATTATTTCCAGACTGACAAATGGATGGCACAGACTTAAAAAATTCTCATCACACTATCATTGAAAAGGAATGACAACTGAGAACAGGCCTAAAACCACAAGCTCCAAGCAATAGCTGTTCAATTCCTGATAAGACAAGTTGTTGGAACAGCGAACAAGAAAAGCTGCTTAGAGCATCAAACAACAGTACTGAGGGCTGGTTATTGAGAGTCATTGCACAGTGTCAAAGTCCAATATTGCCCTACAGCTACCCATCCATAACAGTAGTCTATACTATTTTGGATACTTGTGTATCTTCTCTGATCATAACCCTTTGTAGACCATTATCAATGTTGGATAGCAATTAATTGTAAGAAACCTGGTATTTCTCCCAGGAGGTTAAAAAAACCTTTCCAACTGCTAGGGATCAAAAATGCTTTCCATTTTATATGATTGATAATTATTTTTAGGAGCAATGTTTCATTTTGGGCACCTATTAAAATATTACTTTAATCAGGTGATGGCATTGTAGAGATGATTATTCACTGAGGATGCTTCTATGTATGCATTAATGTTCAGACAATATCCCATAGTTCACAGGTATTTGCTTGATGAGAGCTGACAAAACATAGATGCAAATTAATGAACTTCCCTATGATTACTTCAAGGATTGGAATTACTGTAATCATACAGATGTTTATGTTAGTACTATCTACCTTGTCACAACACAAGATGTTGAGAGGGATATCTAAAACATAAACATATTGTGCTTTGCTGTAGGTCAGGGGTCTCCAAACTTTTTGCAAGGAGGGTCAGATTTGGTGAGGTGAAAATGTGTGGGGGCCGACCATTCAGCCTGACATTCTTTGAACCATTAACATTAAATGCAAATGAACTATTTTATGAAAGACTAACCAAATAACTTAACTGCACTAATGTGAAGGGTGATACTGAGATCTCAACTGCATTATATAGGCCAGGTCTGGCTCAAAAACAGTGGTTTTGATGCGCAAGATGTCACGCAGGTGAAAGTCACTTAGTCTCGTCCTCATGCGGTTCTTGTTAATGTTCATAACCGAAAATGTCTTCTTGCACACGTATGTCAAACCAAACAAGCTCAGCATTTTCTTAGCAAATGTTCAAATCTCTTGGAACCTGTCTTTATCCAGCTGGCAGTAAAAGTTGACGAGAGGGAGCTGTTGGTGCCGACTGTGACACTCGGCGTCACACTGCAGCTCAATGAGCTCCAGCTGCAGGTGGTCTGGAGCGTCATCAGGGTCCACAGAGGAGATGAAAAAAGCATGATCTCCTTTTCAATAACTGCAAAATCCCGAAAGCGCTGTTGAAACTCCTTAGCCAGAGATGAGATGTCTGCTTCATACCTCCTTATTTGCGCACTCATATTGTTCTGTGGAAAACTGGTCATTATTTCCTGCAGCGATGGGAAATGTGTGGTATTGGGCTGCGTTTGTGACAGGTGCCTTTGGAAAAGTAGCAGCTTGGTCCCAAAGGCTTTGATATGTGAATACAGTTGGCTTACCACTGCATTTTGCCCCTGAAGGCTCGTGTTCAGCACGTTCAGATGTCGTGTTATGTCAACTAAAAATCCAAAATCAGCCAGCTAAACAGGATCAGATAGCTCTGGCATCGGTTGTCCCTTTTTTGCCAAGAATTGTCCGATTTCCTCCCTAAGAGAGTAGAAGCGCTGCAGTGCAGACACCCGATTAAGCCATCTTACCTCATTGTGATAGACAACTTCTCCGTATTCAGCCTGGATGTCAAGTAAAAACTGTTGAAACTGGCAGTGGCACAGGGCTTTGGAGCGAATATAATTAATAGCCTTCATCACCGGTTTCATAACATGATCATATTTCAG